CCACTGTGCATGTGACCAAATGATCCTGTATTGCTGTGCCATGGACATATTGAGAAAAATTGGGATGTTTTTGGTCTGGAAAGATGGAGACACAGTGTCCTCATCAGTCCTGCCTCCCAGTGTGGGAGCTGAACACTGGAAGTTGTTTGTTTTTGTCGGCAAACGCTAGGAAACCCCCAGAACCACCTCCCATTCTTTCCCTGAACCAGCCTTTAAGAGAATCCCGAAGCCACTGGCAGGAAAGGCTTACTGTGGTTAATGCCACCTCACGGAGGGGTGGGAGGCTGGGTCCTGAGTCTTCACCAACCTGGGCTGCCTTTCTTTTGTGCAAGCGGCTGCCTGATTCCCACGGCTACAGTTGGAGTCCACTAACTCCTGCCAAGCTACCCAGCGCCCTGTACCATTTATCCCCTAATCGGGGCTGCTTATCCTTTTTGTCTGGTTTCCGTGCTAACTGTGTGGCTGCTGCTGAAATTCCAAATCCTAATATTCCCCTGCTCTGGGCAGGTGGGAGGGCCCCTCGGCCCAGGTAGCCTTCTTGATTACCTGCATGTTTTCCAGCAAAGGGGTTTCCATTCATCTTCATCATGGGCTCAATCTGTGCACAGAGAGGAGGCATCCGCCCTGGCGGGGCCTCTCCACCCAGTCACCTGGAGGCTTTCCCTCATCTGTTCCTCTGCCTTCATGGCCACATTTATATTCCGCCTGCCCTGCTGCTTCCTCCAAGGCCTGTGGGGGATCCTCAGCACCAGGCCTCTCCCCTCTGGGCCCTGCCTGCAAGCCCAGGTGCCAGCCTTCTTCAAGGAGGAAGCATGAGTCACCCATCCCTTCTCCTGAATCAGGAGGAGGTGGAGACCATCCGTCTGTCCTTGCCATGACCTTGACACTCCTGGGCCATGTGTGGGAAAGTGGGTCTTCCCTGTTTCAGCACTCAAATGCAATCTTATCTGCTGATGCCGGCTGGGCACCAGGCTTCGTGCTGGCACTACAGATGCCCGGGTGTCTGGCCCTGCCCTTGAGGGATTAGAGCGCATGGGGAGGGGCACACCAGGATCAGGATGATAAGGATCTGCTGTGGGCACCATCCTCTACAGTTTGCAGCACTCCTTCTGCTCCCCAGTTCACACAAGCCCCACAACCCTGTGAGCTGGTTTTGCAAAGGGCAGACAGGATCCCTTAGTAGCTACAAGTACAGATTTGGGCATCCTCTGGACCTGATTTGGATCCTGGCTCTGCCATGCATTTTCTGGGTGGCTCTGAATAAACCCCTTCACATGTCTGAGCCTCAGCTTCCTCATCTGTAAAGTGCAGTCCTGACAATGCCCACTACCAGGTGAAGGCTCTGTGAGGTCATGTGGGAAGCATCAGCCCCGGGGTCTGCACTGGAGTCTCGCTGTTGCCCAGGCTTGAGTGCAGTGGCACGATCTCAACTCACTGCAACCTCCACCCATTAGGTTCCAGTGATTCTCCTGCCTCTGCACCCTGAAGTAGCTGAGATTATAGGCACCCACCACCACACCCAGCTAGCTTTCTTTTTGGAGACAGAGTTTCACTTTTGTTGACCAGGCTGGAGTGCAATGGCAAGATCTCGGCTCACTGCAACCTCCACCTCCCAGGATCAAGCAATTCTCCTGCCTCAGCCTCCCAAGTAGCTGGGATTACAGCCATATGCCACCACACCCAGCTAATTTTGTATTTTTAGTAGAGATGGGGTTTGGCCAGGCTGGTCTTGAACTCCTGACCTCAGGTGATCCATCTGCCTTGACCTCCCGAAGTGCTGGGATTACGGGCGAGAGTCACCGTGCCCGGCCATGAAGAAGGTTTTAGAACTCGAGGTATGCCCATGACTAACAACACAGACACTGCCCCAGAGCACCTTCCCAGGGAATCGGACAGGCGTCTCCCACAGTTCTCAAGACAGTGTCCAGTGGGGTCTTTTAGTGTTGGCACCTGTGTGCTGGACCCAGGTTACTGGCTGTACTCAGCGCTGTTGCTGCATCTGTAAGACTGGAATAATAACCTTGTCACTGGGCTGCTGGAGAAAAGCTTTATATTAGGAATAATGATTATTTGCCCCAGTGAGCAGTGGGCAGAGAGGAACCGGCTGTGTCTGCCTCTGGGGACCTGGATGAATCTAGGCTCCAACCACAGCTGTCTTGTGAAGGGCTTGGTGAAAGGCCATTCAGCATCTGAGAGCCGGATTCCCTGTTCAGGAGCCCCCTTCCCTTCTGGGCATCCTTGCAGGCGCCCCAAGGCTCCTCCAGAGAGCGCTGAGGGCTGCCTTCGCTCCTCCTTTTCAGTCAATGGTTTGTACCTGTCCTTGGCCACAAGATGTCACCCAAGGAACAGCAAAGCCGGGGCCTGGGAGGAAACTGGCCAGCCCAGAGACCAACCCAGGGAACAACTGACTGAGGGGTGGGCACTGGGGGCAGAGAAGCTGTGGAGGTGGTGTGCTGAGGTGGTTGCAAATCTTGGAATTTCTAGCAGAATGGGGAGCTGTTGCCCCCAGAGGACACTGGTTTATAGGTGCCACCTAAAGATAATGAATTAAAAATAATAAGTAAATAGGGACAAAAATCCCACCTTCCCAGAGTAAAATTAAACCCTGCTAGCCAGATAAGGGGCCATAAACAGACAAGAGGCTTATCAGGGGTGCAACCCAGGCAGGCACAGAGCTGGGCCACTGGTATCCTCATCCTAACCTATGCTTGGTGGGGTGGGAGCAGACACAGAAGGAAAGGCAACCTGGTGTGGCACAGCCTCTGCACCCCTAATTCTACCCAGTGGAGATCAAGGGCTTTGGGGCACTCTGTCTTCCCAGAGGATGTGAAGCACTACCTGTCCCTGGACCACAACGGAGATAGTCCCTGTCCCAGCAGGGGCTGAATTTGGAAGGAAAAGATAGTGGAATCCCTGCTCCGAAGGGCTGCTCTCTGCCTCTCATCCATCCCCATCTGCAAACATTAAGGACACCTGTCATTTGGGGGCATGCCATTCCCAGAGAGAGCACTGCTCTGGAGAGGGGTGGGGATAAGGTCTCACTGAGGAGGGAGGCAGGAGGGGGTACCCGGGGTTTCCCTCCCAAGTAGCTGGGACTACAGGCATGTGTCACCGAGCCCGGCTGATTTTTGTAGTTTTAGTAGAGACAGGGTTTCATCACGTTGACCACCAGACTGGTCTCAAACTCCTGACCTCAGGTGATCTGCCTGCCGTGGCCTCCCAAAGTGCTGAGATTACAGGCATGAGCCACTTCACCTGGCCAAGTTCTCACCCTTTAAAATAGGGCCTTCTCCCATCCATACCTATTACCCTTGTGAGCTATGGAGCCAAGTGCTTAAGAGTTAACCACTTTCACAGTGGATCACACATTTTCATGAGCTTGAGTCAGATGGGGAGCTTGCTGGAAATGCAGATTCCTGGCGTCTTTCCCAGAAATTTAATGGGTCGGGAGTGGGATCATGAGTCTTCAATTTATGAACCTCCTCAGGTGAGTGGTGCAGGTAGACAGGCCACTGGTTCATTCTTCATGAAGTACAAGCTCTCAAACTCTCTTGGAGAGGCTGGGCATGGTCGCTCCTGCCTGTAATCCCAGTACTTTGGGAAGCTGAGGCAGGATAATCACTTGAGGCCGGGAGTTCAAGACCAGAGCAGGCAACATAGCAAGATCCCATTTCCACAAAAAAATTTCTGAAATTAGCCAAGTATTGTGGCATGCACCTGTAGTCTCAGCTACTTTGGAGACTGAGACAGGAGGATCACTTGAGCCCAGGAGTTTGAGAATGCAGTAAGCTAGGATCATGCCACTGCACTCCAGCCTGGGCAACAGGGTGACACCTTGTCTCAAAAACAAAAACAAAAACTCCCTGGAAAATAAAAGTCACCGGGAAGACTTGTTTAAAGATTCCTGGTTCCCTCCCCTATGAACTCTAATACACCAACAAGAATACAAGTGATTCTTAACAGGGAAGTTTGAGAAACAGTTTTATTTCTGTTTTTCGAGATGGAGTATCACTCTCGTCACCCTGGCTGGAGTGCAGTGGTGCGATCTCCTCTCACTGCAACTTCTGCCTCCCGGGTTCAAGCAATTCTCCTGCTTCAGCCTCCCAAGTAGCTGGGACTACAGGAGCTTGCATTCACACCAGCTAATTTTTGTACTTTTAGTACAGGTTTTCACCACGTTGGCCAGGCTGTTCTCAAACTCCTGACCTCGTGATCCACCCACCTCAGCCTCCCAAACTTCTAGGATTACAGGCGTGAGCCACCACACCCGGCGGACACAGTTTATAGTAGAACTCCCTAGAGCACCAATTCCTGGGCCCCATCCCCAAAGGTGATCTAGTTGGTCAGGGTGGGTCACAGCATATTTTTGGGCCAGCAATATGCTGAATTCCTAAACACTCAACAGAAGTAAGATTACCATGGTTTTCACATTCATTGTTTACAACAGGTCCAAGGACTTGGAACTGAGATCTGTTTCCACTTTAGCATAAAATGTGGAAAGTGTTCTGGATCCCCACAATAGCCTGTATGGTTTTTGTTTTTTTTTTTAGAATCTTTATCTGTCGCCAGGCTGGAGTGCAGTGGCACAATCTTGGCTCACTGCAACCTTCTCCTCCTGGGTTCAAGCAATCCTCCTGTCTCAGCCTCCCGAGTAACTGACACTACAGGTGCGCACCACCATGCCCAACTAATTTTTTTTATTTTTAGTAAAGATGGGGTTTCACTGTGTTAACCAGATGGTCTTGACCTCCTGACCTTGTGATCCGCCTGCCTCAGCCTCCCAAAGTGCTGGGATTACAGGCGTGAGCCACCGCGCCTGGCCTTTTTCTTTTTTTAGAGACAAGGTCTTGCTGTGTTGCTCAGGCTGGAACGCAGTGGCCCAATTTGTAGCCTAGAACTCCTGAGCTCAAGCCATCCTCCCACCTCAGCCTCCCAAGTAGCTGGGACTACAGGCACACACCACCATGCCTGGCTTTTTTTTTTTTTTTTTTTTTTTTTTCTGGTGTGAAAGGTTCAGGGAGACAATTCTTTTTATTGTTAAGGACCAAGAAACAAAGTGTAGAAATACCATACACAGTGGTCATGAGCTACAAGATAGGAGTGGGGTGGAAGGGAGACACGGTAACACACAGAAGTATTCGGAAGGAGCTCCAGCTCTTCATTCTAACACTTGAACCAAGGACAGACAGCCGTCCTTTTTCACTAAGGCTACAGCAGAATGCAAATGTGACTCAGTTTATCAGCTCCCACAGGGCAGGCAGTGCAAGAGGCTGTTGTAAGCTGACTTTGGGAGCCCCCATCTCAAACACAGACTGGATGCTGAAGGTGGTCCCTGGCTGCTGCTGGTGGCTGGTCCTGGCTCGCTGGGTCCTAGGCATGTCTCAATTCTCAATAATCAGCTTGTCAGTTGAATACAGTTGGCCAATGTGGACCTGTTGACAAATTATTCCAAGGCCTCTCTTGGCTTTATTCACCAGGGTTTGAATTTCTACAGGATCTTTTATATTTTTATTTTCTCTGAAGGCATCTCTTATCCTCCTGACAGCGTATGTTCTGTAATTGTAGGCGCTGAAATGCTTGTTTGCTCTCAGCATAGCCTGGTACAGATCTAACACTTGTACGCGGCTGGAGGCTGCCATTTTGGAAAGAAGCGTCTGGCTTATTTTTAAAATTTTCTTTGTACAGACCAGGTCTCATTTTTCCCAGGCTGGTCTCAAACTCCAGAACTCAAGTGATCCTCCCACCTCAGTTTCCCAAAGTGCTGGGATTACAGGCATAAGCTAAAACACCCTCTCTGGCCATGGGTCTTTTTTTTGAGATGTTGTTTCACTCTTGTTGCCCAAGCTGGAATGCAATCGTGCAATCTCAGCTCACCACCACCTCTGCCTCCTAGATTCAAGCAATTCTCTTGTCTCAGCCTCCCGAGTAGCTGGGATTACAGGCACATGCCACCATGCCCAGCCAATTTTGTATTTTTAATAGAGATGGGACTTCTCCATCTTGGTCAGGCTGGTCTTGAACTCCCAACCTCAGGTGACCCGCCTGCCTTGGGCCTCTCAAAGAGCTGGGATTACAGGTGTGAGTCACCACACCTGGCCCTTTCTTTTTTAAAAAAAATCCATGGGCTATATTCTACTACCCTGAGTGGATGGAAAGGATTCTTCTGTAATGAAATAAGTGAAGCAAAAGCTCTTCACTGAATACTTCAATCTTTAGGTGGAGGACACATTTACGGCCAAGAGCAGCTTCAGCCCTGGTTTCTCTACAGCAGGCGTCCCCAAACTTTTTACACAGGGGGCCAGTTCACTGTCCCTCAGACCGTTGGAGGGCCGCCACATACTGTGCTCCTCTTCACTGACCACCAATGAAAGAGGTGCCCCTTCCTCAAGTGTGGCGGGGGACCGGATAAATGGCCTCAGGGGGCCGCAGCCCCAATTTGCAGCAGGATGGCAGGCAGGCTAGTGAAGCTACTGTCAGTTGCTCAGCAACCTCTGGTGAAAAGCTACGGAGCCCTGTACTTGCAGAAAGGGTTGGGTGGATACAGTAACAGGAGTCCAAGCGACATAGGTAAATTCCAAGTTGGCAAGAAAAGTTGAATGTTATTTTCAGTTCTAGGCATCATAGCACTTGTTTTAATATTGAAGAGGGGGCTAGGCGCAGTGGCTTACGCCTGTAATCCCAGCACTTTGGGAAGCCAAGACAGGCACATCATCTGAGGTCAGGGATTCAAGACCAGCCTGATCAACATAGTAAAACCCTGTCTCTACTAAAAATAAAAAATTAGCCAGGCGTGGTGGCACTATGTTTACTACCCTGCATTTCAGCCACTCAGGAGGCTGGGGCAGGAAAATCGCTTGAACCTGGGAGGCGGAGGTTGCAGTGAGCCAAGATCCTGCCACTGCACTCCAGCCTGGGTAACAAGAGTGAAACTCTGTCTCAAAAAACAAAAACAAAAACAAAAAACTGAACAGAGTGAATGAAAAGAGGCCCTAAGCAAGTTTTTAACTATTTTCTTCTAAATGAAGTACAATCAATATAAGAAAAGTGCCTTCCCACCAACAAGGGAAGCCTGAAGAGTGAGCTAGTACTCCTTGTCAAAAGTAACTTCCCTTGGCTGAAAATATTAGTAAAGGCCTAAGTGAATATTGTGATAAGATGACAACACTTTTGCTTTCAGAAGGAAAAATAAAGAATAGCTACCAAATATAGGCACCAGGCAGAAACTGTTAAATCTATAGATGAAGAGGTTGAGACAAGCAGATCGCCTGAGCTCAGGAGTTTGAGACCAACCTGGGCAACATGGCAAAACCCCGTCTACAAAAAACACAAAAATTAGCCAAGTGTGGTGGTGTGTGCCTGTAGTCCCAGCTACTTGGGAGGCTGAGACCAGATACTTGCTTGAACCCAGAGGCAGAGGTTGCAGTGAGCCAAGATCCCACCACTGCACTCCAGCCTAGTCCAGACTCTTTGTCCCCAAAAAAAAAAAAAAAAAAAAAAAGCCCTAGATCTTCACGTGTTAGTTACTGCTAGGTCATTCTAGTTCCTTCCTGTGCCACATGTAGCAAACACCCTTATTGTTCAGATGAAAAAGATGAGTATGAATTCATTGAGAACATCAGAACATTAGGAAGTCAAATGTTTTCAGAAATGCTTCTGAATATAAAATATAAAATAGATGATAGAAACATAAAACCCAGTGAATCAAACTGCTCTCCCTCTTTTAATCAGTTTTATAAAATGTTTTACAGTACTAATCACATTAGGAGACAGGTGGGTTTCCTGTACATATACAAGATTGTGCAAGCTCATTGAGACTTAGGGAAAGGGTTTAGCAGTTTCAAGAGGCAGTACAGCTTTTTAATCCAGATGAAGCACAAGAAGAATCCAGTAGACAGGACAGTATTAATTTGACAGAGATGAATTCCCCTGTATGTGGTTCCTACCCACACTATCTGCCATTATCCAAGTGGAGACCTCCTCCCTCTTGAATTTAATCCTTGCTGAGCTTAGGCCTGTGGGATAAAGTAGCTCCAGGGTCACTCCATAGCTCAAATACAACTTAACACTGAAGCAAACTATATTTTCATTTCTCCAAGTGTTCTCAAGAGTAATAAAGCTATTCCTTGTCCTACTACTTTGAGTAACCTACATTCTAAAATATATTAAGTAATTATTAACCTGCCAAAGTTCTCAAGCATTTTTGGCATTTAAATATCAAACATCTCATTACTGTTAATCCACTTACTAAAAATCCTTTGGGCTTCAAGACTGTTTCAGATTTACTTCCCTCAAAATTAAAGCAATTACGTACAAAATAAACTTGCAAGACTTAAATATTTAAAAAGAGGAAGAACAGATTTTTCTTTAAAGAAACAAAGCAGGAAGAGTCAGGAGAGAAAAATCTAGGAAGCACCAATTGAGGACATGAACCCCACTACACTTCTATCACTTCTATGCAATCCAATAGTAATTCTGAGTGTATGACTTTCCCTCCTCACACCCAATCACACAGGAAACCTACGACCTTATACTTGGGTCAAAACCTAGTTGACCTTACTTGGGCCAAACTGAAATTCCCATGGCAAGCAATAGGAAAGAGTGCCCAGGTTCAGCACATCAGTCAGCTACAGATTCTTATGGCAAGAACACAGTCCCTGTGCTAGGGCTGGGATTGTTCTCTTGCTTATGCACCTCAGGGACACATTTATAAAGCCTACTTTAAACAAAGGCTTCCAGGACACAGGAAAAGAAAAACCATGCAGCACATCTCTTTGCAATCCCTCAGAAAACCTGATTCTCCTACAACAGCGATTTTAACTATCTGTTTAAGAAGGCTTTCATAGGCCGGGTGCGGTGGCTCAAGCCTGTAATCCCAGCACTTTGGGAGGCCGAGGCGGGTGGATCACGAGGTCAAGAGATCGAGACCATCCTGGTCAACATGGTGAAACCCCGTCTCTACGAAAAATACAAAAAATTAGCTGAGCATGGTGGCGCATGCCTGTAATCCCAGCTACTCAGGAGGCTGAGACAGGAGAATTGCCTGAACCCAGGAGGTGGAGGTTGCGGTGAGCCGAGATCGTGCCATTGCACTCCAGCCTGGGTAACAACGGTGAAACTCCGTCTCAAAAAAAAAAAAAAAGGCAGCTTTCATAAGCAAGCTTTTATAAAGAAAATGCAGAAGAAAGCAATTACTGTGGCTGAGATTTCACCTAAAATGGAGAAAGCAAAATGTTTGACAGGTTTAAATATAATGGGGTGTGTGTGTGTGTGTGTGTGTGTATGCACATATATATATATATATATATATATATATACACACACATATATATTTAAACCTGTCAAACATTTTAAACCTGTCAAACAGGATTATAGGCGTGAGCCACTGTGTCCAGCCACAAAATTGTATATATAATATTGTATATAATATATATACGCATATATATTGTACATAATATATATACAACGTGGCTGGACACAGTGGCTCACACCTATAAGCTCAGCACTTTGGGAGGCCAAGGCAGGCAGATCACTTGAGGGCAGAAGTTTGAGACCACCCTGACCAACATGGCAAAACCCTGTCTCTACAAAAAATACAAAAATTAGCTGCTGGGTGTGGTGGTGCATACCCGTAATCTGAGTGACTAGGGAGGCTGAGGCATGAGAATCACTTGAGACTGGGAGACAGAGGTTGCAGTGGGCCGAGATCGCACCACTGCACTCCAGATTGGGCGACAGGGCAAAACTGTCTCAAGGAAAATTAAAATATAATTGTGTAAGTAAAGATAATCTTCAACTTGTATTTCTATTACTTCTAAAAGCATAATATTAATACAAAATGCAAACAGATTTTTCTTTTCCTCAGATAATTTTTAAAAAATTATTATTATTTTTAAAGACGGGGTTTCACCATGTTGGTCAGGCTGGTCTTGGACTCCCGACCTCAGGTGATCCGCCCGCCTTGGCCTCCAAAGTGCTTGGATTACAGGATTGAGCCACCACGCCCGGCCTTCCTCAGATAAATTAATCCTACAAGATTTCAGGGGAGCTGAGCCAACTCTCTCTCCATTTAACATCCACTAACTTTGTAAATTCTATGTAGTAATTTGTGGCCACTGAATGTTTCCCGGGCTGATTTTGCACTTTTGCACTAATCTTCATGTAAAACAAGTACTGGAGGGCAGAGAAGGAAGAAACATTTAAGGAACAACTATTCCTCTTTCCTGAAAAAAAAAAAAAAAAAAATCAAATCATGCCCCATCTCACGTACCTGTCAAGAAATCAAACCAGTGATGGTTAATGCCAAAGGAGTCCTTGCTCCTGACAGGATTTTCAGAGGGAAACTTAGCTGCCCCTGAAAACAGCTGTGCTGTGCTCCTCTGCCAGCTATGGAGTCATGAGCACCTCATCTGTTTCAGAGGTGTCACAGATGCCAAATCTCTGGGGCTCTACCCTCAGCCCCAGCTCCAACACTGCAGAGCCCACCCTTTCTCCTGCCTCCAATCCCAACACCTTCTCTTCACCCAAATCCCACCACCTTCTCTTCCACAGAAAAGAGCCCTGATGCAATGTCCACATCTTCATGTTTATTTCCACAGTGTTAACATGGAATAGACTTAGCAACCATTGCGGAGAAAAAAAAAAATCTCTCGTTGGTTTATGAGTTAAATCCTGTAACAATGAACTTCAACCATTCAAAGTCTGCTGCTGCTTAACATTTACTGAATCAAATGCTAAAGTAAATGGACTGCCATCTAGGTCTCAAAAACCACACAGCTGGCCTTCATGATGTTTTTATAATGAGATTTAACCTGTGACACTAGGCAAGTTTGACAGTTACAGCCCATGAAGTGCATGACTACAAGGATTTCTTGACCTAACATTCAAAAGGACATTTCATAGTACTAGTTTAATTCTGATCTCTCCCTAGAAGGCGGAAACCACATCCTACACTCCTATACAATTTGTTATTTTGGTATTGTAAAGTACTTAATGAGAAGGGGTGGAGGCATAAAGAAAATCTCGTTTCTGGCCAGGCACGGTGGCTCACACCTATAATCCCCACACTTTGGGAGGCCCAGGTGGGTGGATCACGAGGTCAGAAGATTGAGACCATCCTGGCCAACACGGTGAAGCCCCGTATCTACTAAAAATACAAAAATTAGCTGGGCATGGTGGTGCACACCTGTAGTCCCAGCTACTCAGGAGACTGAGACAGGGGAATTGCTTGAATCCGGGAAGCGGAGGTTACAGTGGACTGAGATCGCACCACTGCACTCTAGCCTAGGCGACAGAGCGAGACTCAGTCTCAAAAAAAAAAAAAAAAAAAAAGAAAATCAGTTTCTTTAGGCATCCCCAGACATGGAGATCTCAGAGGCAGACAACCTCCATATTCATCTGCCTGAGGCTGTTTGTCACAGTTTCCTTAAAAGATGCCTGGAAGTGCTGCAAACAACAAGGGACTCAAGTATGGGGCTGAGTTTGTTATAAAAGCAGCTAAATGTGTTTAGGAAACATACAAAGCGAAACCAGACAGTGATGGTCCACGAACAAGACTTGTGCTTGAACCTTTGGTGTGCCTCCTTGGCCAATTTTTTAGGCACCAAAACCCATTCCTGATTAATTATTGAATATAATGCAAATCAAACTATGAAAACACAGACTTTTTTTCAGAAGAGGGAAATAAAGGCACAGAAAACTGCCAAAATAGATTTTTTTCCATAAGAATAGAATGGTTGATTAAAATAGTTTATAACTAGTAAAACTTGTATCACTAGAGCAGACAATACAAATTAGTTTTTTAAAAAAATGACATTCACTGAATTCCTGGTCTGTGCATTCAATGTGAATAATCATCAAAAATATATTACAATTAAAGGTTGTAAGGAGCTCTGTCTGGGATTTCTGCAGTATATTACTTCAGAGGAGAACCACCACCATAATTATTAGCTATCCACTGTTCCTTTTTACCGTGTATGGTAATCAGTCTATCCCCTACATGCAGGCTCACAAACTCCCATGGTGAGATGTCTGCGTGACTTAGTGACTTTCACACTCATTAAAGGCAGCCCTGTGTGTCAAATTCCATACCTAGAAAGTTCGATAAACTGTATTACACTTTAATAAATATTTCTGTGTACTTCCTGTTTTTTGCTTTTAAGCTCAGCTTAAATTTTGTCAAGGAAACCATTTCACAAGACAGTATGTCACGGCCTACTATCAGCAATAGTCCTTGTTTATTAGAATCTGTAGATGTCCATATTACATCAAATATAAATATATATTATATTTACATTTCCTTCTTAGCTTTTCAATTTAGGTGAGTGTATTTATAGGTAATGCCACTAATGCACCACTATTATAATCCTCAGTGCAACTTATGTCTTCTTTCCATTAGATGCATATTAATAAGATAGCATCTTAAAAGAGGAGTACTGTTCTTTTTTAAAATAAAAGGGAAAAAAAGGGGGTCTAGAATGGGGTTCTAGAAATTTTCTAAGAGATTTTTTTTTTCTGTTTTTTAATATTTAGAAATTACCTGAAAAACGTGGTCCCTTTTTGTAGTACTAGTCTCTACTTGGGGACAAGAAAATAGAATATGCAACTCAGAAAGGAAGGAGCCCAAAGACGAGAGAACCTGCTTGTTAGCTCATTAACCTGTTTAGTAAAGATCTGCTTTAAAATGCCTGATGATGTACAATATTATACAAAACAATCTTCACCCTTCAATGCAGCTGATGCGCTTTCTTAGAGATCTGTTTGTCTGACTAACAGTCTGCTGCCTTGGTGGACTCTGGTCTTGGTCACTTTCGGTCATCGATGGTTTTAATGAATTCTACTGCTGCTGTGAACTGCATCCACCAATAGGACTCCTCTCCAGACAGACAGCTAGCATAAAAGCTACTGATATACTGCACAGTGGACAGCAAACAGGGTGGATTTGCCTAGAGAAGTGAAAAATAAAAAAGAGTCAATTACTCAGATGTCATAGCTCTACCAAAATCGTTTAAGGGTTCTTTGAATGTTCTTCTATCAAAGACGTAACAATCTTTTTGAAAACAATCCCAAAGTTATTTTTTGGAGGTAATCTGTAAACTCTAGTTTCCATGAGTAGCAATAATATGTTGGAAAGGCAAGCCAGGTTCTACTCTCAGCTAATCCATCTAGAGGTTTCTATCCTTGCAAGTCACTTAGCCTCACTGGTTTCTAAGAAGGCTGTGGTTTTACTCAGCATCCCAGGATTTCAGAATGTTAGATAACAAAATAAATGCTATAAGTAAATTGAGTTATAGCTGGTAAGTCCAGGGAGAATCAGCTGACAAAGAAAAAGCTAAAAAAGATGATACGCCCTCTGTTGCCAGATGTAACAGAGAACATCTCCTGGTTTTTTTTAACCTTCAGCATGTGGTGAGAAAGGGTACAGGCTACTGAATGGTTAAGAGGAAGAGCCAAGGCTTTTCCTTAAAACTAGCTTAAACTGGCTCTACACAGGAACTAGATTCATCACTTGTAGAAGCCAGAAGAGCGATGGCCAACAGGAGGAGCTGTGATGGCCAACCCCATGGGTTTCTGCCTCCAAGAGTTCAGGTTGTAGAAATGTCACAACGCTAAGAAATAGTAAGACGTATGTCACACATACTTTAGACTGCAACAGCTGAGCTGAGCTGACTGGAAAACACAAGTGATATAATCACTTAGTGGCTGTGTGCATGCAAACTGCATGGTTACCCTCAAAATGTTCAAAATAAACCATTCAAATGATGAAACTTTAATTTTAAAGTCAGTAAGAACTAGAGATGTCAGTACTTTTATACTACAAAATAAGAGGCTAAAAAAGGAAAGAGATGATTGCTAAGTTTGGTAGCCTATATGACAAGCACTGCAAAGAATTCCGTATGAAAGAAGATAGTAAAGGCACAATAAGAAGAACCTGCTCTCACCCATTCACTCAATAATTACAGACCAAGCCCCAACCAAGAACTTCAGGCACTGTTGTTTTTTTTTTTTTTTCCTTTTTTTGAGATGGAGTCTCACTGTCTTGCCCAGGCTAGAGTGCAGCAGTGTGATCTCAGCTCACTACAACCTCTGCCTCCCAGGTTCAAGCAATTTTCCTGCCTCAGCCTCCCGAGTAGCTGGAATTACAGGTGCCTGCCACTGAGCCTGGCTAATTTTTGTATTTTTAGTAGAGATGGGGTTTCACCAGGCTAGTCTTAAACTCCTGAACTCATGATCCACGTGCCTCAGCCTCTCAAAGTATTGGGATTACAGACATGAGCCACTGCGCCCAGCCCAGGCATTGCTTTAAAAGCTGAAAATGTTCATCTAGAAATCTACTCCTCCCATCCTTTCTTTTGAAAACGCTAAGGTAAGAACAAATCTTGGCAAGCACGGTGGCTCATGTCTGTAATCCCAACACTTCAGGAGGCTGAGGTGGGTGAATCACTTGAGGCCAGCAGCTCGAGACCACAAGACGAGCTTGGCCAACATGGCGAAACCCGGTCTCTACTAAAAATACAAAAAAAAGCCGGGCGCTGTGGCTCAAGCCTGTAATCCCAGCACTTTGGGAGGCCGAGGCGGGTGGATCACGAGGTCAAGAGATCGAGACCATCCTGGTCAACATTGTGAAACCCCGTCTCTACGAAAAATACAAAAAATTAGCTGGGCATGGTGGCATGTGCCTGTAATCCCAGCTACTCAGGAGGCTGAGACAGGAGAATTGCCTGAACCCAGGAGGCGGAGGTTGCGGTGAGCCGAGATCGCGCCATTGCACTCCAGCCTGGGTAACAAGAGTGAAACTCCGTCTCAAAAAAAAAAAAAAAAAAAAAAATAGCTGGGAGTGGTGATGCATGCCTGTAATCCCAACTACTTGGGTGGCTGAGGCCAAGAATTGCTTGAACCCAGGAGGGGAAGGCTGCAGTGAGCTGAGTTCACATTTCTGCACTCCAGCCTGGGTGACAGAGTGAGATCCTGTCTCAAAAAAAACAAATCTTGACATTAGGCACTTTCGTTCTGCGTAATCCAGAGCCTGTGACTTGGGAAAGAGCCAAGATCTCTACCGTTGTGTGAAGCCCTGTGCCACCTGCTCAGAATTCCAGGTAACTCCTTAAATAATAGTAGTAAGGGGCCCACCTTTATCAACACAAACACCAACACAGGAACAAAGTCGTCTGCTCCAGGGACAGAGTCCTCATTGGCCAGGCTCAGGAGGTTCATAATTGTAGAGCACATTCTCAGGATGCACTGTACTTTGTCCCGGGGGGTTTTGTAAGCACTTATTGTCCTGATTTCTGATTGTGCAGACGGCCACGGTGCTTCTCGAAGATAAACCTAGGTGATACCACAGACAATACACAGATTCTGAATCCAATGGCAATCCTGGGCAGTGACCACCGCAACCTCCATGACAGGAGGCAGAGGATAATGTGGTTGTTTTTTCTCTGGTAAAACCACATTGCAAGCCCCTTTCCCCTCCACCAAAGACTGAAAACTTTTCTTTTTTGAGATGGAGTTTTGCTCTTTTTGCCCAGGCTGGAGTGCAATGGTGCAATCTTGGCTCACCACAACCTCTGCCACCCACATTCAAGCAATTCTCCTGCATGAGCCTCTGGAGTAGCTGGGATTACAGGCACGCGCCACCACGCCTGGTTAATTTTGTATTTTTAGTAGAGATGGGGTTTCTCCATATTGGTCAGGCTGGTCTCGAACTCCCAACCTCAGGTGATCTGCCCTCCTCGGCCTCCCAAAGTGCTGCAATTAATTAAGGCATGAGCCACCGCACCAGGCAAAAACTTTTAAGTAAGTTGCTTTGCGTTTAAAAATAGTTAACCCAGATATCCATTAATAGAAAAAGGGAACAGCGCAGAACCTAGAACTCACAAAACTTTAAGCCATTCTCTTTCTTAAATAGCTAGAATGGAACTTCTCTACATTTAGTAGCTGATTCCAGAAGTACAAACAAACTACTGAAGGACTTTTCCTTAAAACTAGTTTAAACTGGCTCTACACAGGAACCAGACTTATCATGTGTGATAAGGAGGTTAATTTAAAAATATGTACCATTGATGTAGTAATTCCTCTAGAAATGACAGATTCAAAAAACCAAAGACATTTAAAATTTTATACTAATTAATGTCTCATTAGTGGGGGTTGTAACAAAAACAACCAGAAAGCTCATATACTTGAAATTTTCCCGTTTTCTTATTTTGTGGGACAGAAATGCTAATATCAATGACTAAAAGGTAATCTGAGATTACATTCAGATGCAATGACCTCTCCTGAGACAGCATATCTCTCTCACTTTTTGGAGTGCTACCAGCCTCCTGCTTCTTCAAAACATTTCTGCAGAAACCTGACTATAAAAGCACTGATGGAGAGGTACTGCCCCTGAGAGCAGGGCTGGCTTGAGAAGCCCTGCCTGGGCACGGAGTGGCTTCAAGGAAGGGATCCTCTCAGCTGGCTTTCTACTATTTCGGATTAGGGAATTTTAACCTCTGGAAGCATCTTTGGGAACTTGGCAATTAGACTGAATTACTTTGGGTGCAAATCAGGTTTTTTATATTTTACCATACTTCAGTTCCTTGAAAACATGGTAACATTATGTGGATTAATACCATGCAGCATTTAGTTAACATTACCCATGCTATATAAACCTGTATTACCTCTGGTATCTGAAGAGCTCTGTGATTTGCAGTCACTACTTTAGACAATCTCTGGATATGTTCATGAAGAACCCTGAAAACCCCCCAAAATACAAATGTAAATATACATTTCAGAAAATAAGGTACACAAATAGTCATCATTGATTTTTACAAAACGTTTGAAATACGTTGACTTATTGCTAGATACGGATTACAGCTAAGAGTTGAGCCTATCAGATAAGTATTCTTTCTAATCTGCTCAGAAACACTGAGTGAGCCAAGGGGATGCAGGGAGGAGAGGGAGTCTTTCCTCTCTGGACCAGGCAGCAAGGCAAGGGAGAGAGGAGGGGAGCCCTTAGTAGGAGTACTTGGACACATTATTTTGTAAAGTAGAGGAAAAGATAGTGAGGGGGGGAAAAAAAGTGAGAGGAAGTAGAAGGATCAAAAGCCAGAAATCAAAGACATTAATTACATGGAGAAGGGCCTCCACCATTCACCCAACCTTTCATTTTGTAGATGAAGAGAAATAGGCTTAAAAAAGTAAAGACTTGCCTAAGCTACACAAGTGTCAGTAGAGGGGCTGAACACAGCTTCCTGGCTACTAATGTTCTTTGCAATTCCTCTCTTGGCTTTCTATACCCTATAAAGCCTGCAGAAATGCCATGGAGGGTGGGGAAAAATAATCTCCTTCAAAGTTGCTCTTTGTAGTCAATATGGTTTGAATGTCCCCACTCCTTATTCTATGCCTAAAGCCAAAAAAAACTGGTACTCTGGAGAGAAAACAGGCTCCATCTGGCATATTTAGAAGACTGGAATGGGTCAAATGCTCTGAAACCATGAACAAATGAGGAAGGTAGATTGGAAGGATCCTAACCCACTTCGCGGGAAAGTGAATTCTCTCAAATATCTATGCAACATCTGAAAATTTCTATGAAAAATATTTAACGCAAACATAACCCACACCCAGAGATCCTATTACACAGATCCGAGAGTCACGCAGAGTAAGCCACTGTCACTGCTAAGAATGACAGTAACAACTTTAACATGCTTGAGGTGAGAAGCAGGGTTGTGAAGCAGTGCTCAAGAAAATACAGAAGGCTGGGAGCAGTGGCTCATGCCTGTAATCCCAGCACTTTGGGAGGCCAAGATGGGCAGATCACTTGAGGTTGGGAGTTCAAGATCAGCCTGGCCAACATGATGAAACCCCAGCTCTGCTAAAAATACAAAAATTAGCTGGGCGTGGTGGTGCATGCCTGTAATCCCAGCTACTCAGGAAGCTGAGAAAGGAGAACTGCTTGAACCCAGGAGGTGGAGGTTGCAGTGAGTCAACATCACACCATTGCACTCTAGCCTGGGTGACAGAGCAAGACTCTGTCTCCAAAAAAAAAGAAAAGAAAAAAATACAGAAGAGTAGAAATAAAACTGCAAAATCTTCCATAGTCTCACTACCCCAAAATAACCAATGTTACCATTCCAGGTTAATTTTTTCCAAGTTTTGCTTTTTTCTTTTCTTTTCTTTTCTTTTTTTAGGACAGAGCCTCGCTCTCTTGCCCAGGCTGGAGTGCAGTGGTGTGATCTTGGCTCACTGCAACCTCTGCTTCCCAGGTTCAAGTGATCCTCCTGCCTCAGCCTCCTGAGCAGCTGGGACTACAGGCACATGCCACCACAGCCAGCTAATTTTTGTATTTTTAGTAGAGAAGGGGTTTCACCATGTTGGCCAGGCTGGTCTCGAACTACTGACATCAGGTGATCCACCCACCTCGGCCTCCCAAAGCGCTGGGATTACGAGTATAAGCCACTGCACCCAGCCAACTGTTTATTCTTAATAAATATATAATGAACATACATTAGAAGCCAAGCACTGTGCCTGGTGCTGTTAGAGTGGTTAATAAAAGCATTATTTCCTGGTCTTGCAGAGGGAACAAGCCAGTATGGAGAGAACATTCATCAAACCATCACACAAACCAGTGATTAAGAAAAGGGGAGAGGCCAGGTGCAGTGGCTCATGCCCTATAATCCCAGCTCTTAGCCCAGCACTTTGGGAGGCTGAACCAGGAGGACTTACAGTGCTTAAGTCCAGCAGTTTGAGACCAGCCTGAGCAACACAATGAGACCTCGTCTCCACAAAAAATAAACAAGGCTGGACACAGTGGCTCACACCTGTTATCTCAGCACTTTGGGTGGCCAAGATGGGGGATCACCTGAAGTCAGGAGTTCGAGACCAGCCTGGCCAACATGGTGAAACCCCATCTCTACTAAAAATACAAAAAAATTAGCCAGGCATGGTGGTGCGTGCCTGTAGTCCTAGCTACTAGGGAAGCTGAGGCAGGAGAATTGCTTGAACCCAGGAGGCGGAGGTTGCAGTGAGCCAAGATCATACCACTGCACTCAGCCTGGGTGACAGAGCAAGACTCCATATACATACATACATACATACATAGTCAGCCAAGTGTCACATGTGCACCTATAGTACCGGTGATCTGGGAGGCCAAGGTAGGAGGATCACTTAGTCACATAAGCCCAGTAGGTTGAGGCTTCAGTGAGCTGTGATTGTGCCATTGCACTCCAGCCTGGGTGACAAAACGAGACCCCGTCTCAAAAACAAAAAAGAAGAAAAAAAAGAATAGGGGAGAATTTTGCCACCCTCCCCCACCAAGGGCCATTTGGAAATGTCTGGAGACATTTGGTTGTCACGACTGGTGGGGTATTACTGGCATCTAGTGTGTACAGGCCAGTGATGCTGCTGAAGATTCTATAACGTGTAGGACAGTCTCCCACATCATCAACAATCTGGCCCCAAATGTCAGTAGTGTTGGATTGAAAAACCATAACTTAAACAGATGTCAAATGGCAACCGGCAAGTGCTAAAGAAAGGCACCCAGACCTGAGAGAGCCCTAGCGGGATGTAGCCTAGTCAGGAGAGGCTTCATCAGGAAAACAACACTTCAGTCAAGACCTGAGGGATGAGTAAGACTTAATCGCAGGAAGGAAGGGAAAAGTAGTTAAGGCAGAGTAAACAGCAGTGCTTTCCAAAGAGGCCATACCAATTTCTACTCCTTCCAGCTTGACTGTCCACATCCCTGAAAAGTAGGAATTATCATTCTTTTTGATCCTGTAACACTGTCAGGTGAAAAATGATAACTGATGCCTTTCCTTTTACAATCAGATACTAAGTTACACGTATAGCTTGCCTAAAATATGGGTTACCTGGTAGATCCCCACGTAGTCCCACAGAGGCACTCAGCATAGAAGTACTCACTGGTCACGGAGTATGTCCCCATCCTGATTAGGGTAGAAAGCAAGTTTGAAAATCCGGTTCATCACACTTCGCTCAATGGCCAGCTGTGCATCTTGAAGCTGTTCTTCACTCGCGTTTTGCCATATGACATCCTGGGCCATTGCACCATAAAGAAACTGCAAAAAATCTTCTACCTGAGCAGTTTTATCATCAGCTGCTGTGAGTTTCTGAAAGTCTCCAAAGCAAAATAATAATTTTTAATAGTTTAATAAAATCTATCTGAATAATTTAAAACAGGAAATTATATAAATAATTTTAATCACTAGCTATGCAGACACCATGATCTTAATCAGTGTGATTTATTTTAGGACAACATGTATCCATATAATTAAACCAGGAGAAAGTAAGAAATATGTGAAAGTTTAAGTACAAGAAATTTATAATAAAAATATGTTTCTAAAAAAATGTTTGGTTTAAAAAAAATGAGACAATTTGTATAAATCCAAATGTCCCCAATTTAAAAAATAAACTATAAACATTTAATCCAAGAGAGAAATGCAATTTATTGGTTTGACATCAAAGTTTAAGATTCCATAAAATAAATGGGTATTTAAGGCATGCAGATACTTGAACTAGCAAAACAAAGTAGTATTTCCAAATCTTCCCAGCTGAGGAGATGCTTAAAGATATTGAGTTACCTTGAATGAATTCCCTGATCTTCTTTTCTTTGCTCTCAAGCAGTAATCTCACACAGACAGTGGTAAAGTATCGATTGGCCACTTCTTTGTCCCGCAGAACCCTTTGCAACAGCCTTTCCAGGTGAGCCTGTGTGGTCTGTAGTCCTTGCCGACAACGAGTGAGATAAGCAATATATGGGGCTCTTTTCCTAAAAGGAAAAATACTTTGCATGATGTCAGATATATTCAGTACATATTTTCTTTGAAAAATAAGGGTCCTAACTTTTCTTTAATAAAAAAATTACTGTGGCTGAGCACAGTGGCTCACGCCTAATCCCAGCACTTTGGGAGGCTGAGGTGGGCAGATCACAAGGTCAGGAGTTCGAGACCAGCCTGACCAACATGGTGAAACCCCGTCTCTACTAATACAAAAATTAGCCAAGCATGGTGGTGTGCACCTTTAATCCCAATTACTTGGGAGGCTGAGGCAGGAGAATCACTTGACCTGGAAGGTGGAGATTGCAGTGAACCAAGATTTCGCCACTGCATTCCAGCCTAGGCAACAGAGCGACACTCCATCTAAAAAAAAAAAAAAAAAAAAAACTGCAAAGACTGGTTTTACAAAGTAGCATGTCTGTGCTCTCTTCAGTAGCAAATACACAAAGTAGCATGTCAGGCTGCAGACATGGTAGAGGCTGATCATGGTGCCAGCTGAAGAACAAACCCATTTTGCATGTTTGGAAGGATCTATGGGGCTTAAGACTTGGTTACCTAATTCACTAAACGTTAGTAAGCCCCTTTGCATACGTGGTGTATTTTATATTGGAGCTACAGGACCTCATACTTAACAGGAAACTGACAGCTACAGATGACTTAAAATAACAAATACAGGTTACACATCACTAAGTCACAAACATCCTTCACCAATTACTTGCTTACAGTCTAAGCATAACAATCACCTGAGTGCCCATTCCCTAAGCCTTGAAGCTTCCTTACTACCTAAGCATCTCAGTTACATTTTTCTACGTAATCATTAGCAGGGGACTGACAGTGGAAAAAGCACAGCAATTCCTAAGGCTACTTCTGCTTCTCTGGTAGAGGAAAGTAGTCTTTCCTATCGCCTCTAAAAAAAGGAATATGATATTCTAGTTGTCCTGGCCTCACATATAGGCATATCTCTTTACCCGCTTTTGTGCAAAGCTGAAGTAAACTGCTCTCTTCTATTTGGAACTGCTCATTTGTAACTACATTTCCAGACTAAATATCCAAATATGTTGCTTGGAAATTGATATGGCCTGGCTGTGTCTCCATCTTGAATTCGCATGTTGTGAGTGGGGCCTGGTGGGAGATAACTGAATCATGGAGGTAGGTCTTTCCTGTGCTGTTCTCATGATAGTAAGTCTCACGAGATCTGATTGTTTTAAAAGGGAGAATTCGCTGCAAAAGCTCTCTTCTCTTGTCTGCTACCACGTGAGATGTGCCTTTTACCTTCTGCCATGATGGTGAGGCCTCCCCAGTGACATGGAACTGTAAACCCAATTAAATCTCTTTATTTTGCAAAATGCCCAGTCTCGGGTATGTCTTTATCAGCAGCGTGAGAACAAATAAGGTATACTGATACCAAGAGGGGGGTACTGCTAAAAAGACACCTGAAAATGTGAAAGCGGCTTTAAAACTGGGTAACAGGCAGAGGCTGAAACAGTCTGGAGGGCTCAAAGGAAAACAGGAAAATGTGGGAAAGTTTGAAACTTTCTAGAGATCTGCTGAATGGCTTTGATGAAAAGTTGACAGTGATATGAACAATAAGGTCCAGGCTGAGATGGTCTCAGACAGAGATGAGGAACTCACTGGGAACTGAAGAAAAGGTGATTCTTGTTATGTTTTAGCAAAGAGACTGGTGGCATTTTGCCCATGCCCTAGGATTTGTGGAACTCTGAACTTGAGAGAGGTGATTTAGAGTATCTAGCAGAAGAAATTTCTAAGCAGCAAAGTATTCAAGAGGTGACTTGGGTGTTATTAAAGGCATTCAGTTTTCTTTTTTATTTTGAGATGGAGTTTCACTCTTTTTGCCCAGGCTGGAGTGCAGTGGCATGATCTCAACTCACTGCAACCTCTGCCTCCCAAGTTCAAGCGATTCTCCTGTCTCAGCCTCCCAAATTGCTGGGATTACAGGTGCCCACTACCACTGTGCCCAGCTAATTTTTTTTTTTTTTTTGAGATGGAGTCTCACTCTGTCGCCCAGGCTGGAGTGCAGTGGCATGATCTCAGCTCACCGCAACCTCTGCCTCCAGGATTCAAGCGATTCTCCAGCCTCAGCTTCCTGAAGAGCAGGGACTACAAGTGTGTGCCACCATGCCTGGCTAATTTTTTTATTTTTAGTAGAGATAGGGTTTCACTATGTTGGCCAGGCTGGTCTCGAACTCCTGACCTTGCCTCCCAAAGCGTTGGGATTACAGTTGTGAGCCACCATGCCTGGCCAGCATTCAGTTTTATAAGAGAAGCAGAGCGTAAGAGTTTGGAAACTTTGTAGCCTGACAATGCAATAGAAAAAAAAAATACCATTTCCTGAGAAGAAATTCAAGTTGGCTGTAGAAATCTGCATAAGTAATGAAGAACTGAATATTAATCCCCAAGACAATGGAGAAAATGTCTCCAGGGCATGTCAGAGGTCTTCATGGTATCCCCTCCCATCACAGGCCCAGAGGCCTAGGAGGAAAAATGCTTTCATGGGCTGGGCCAGGGATCCCATGCTCTATGCAGCCTGGGGACTTGGTGTCCTGCCTCCTAGCTACTTCAGCCATGGCTGAAAAGGGGCCAACTAGAGCTCAGGCTGTAGCTTCAGAGTGCAAGTCCCAAGCCTTGGCAGTTTCAAGTGGTTTTGAGCCTGTGGGTGCACATAAGTCAAGAACTGGGATTTAGAACCTCTGCCTAAATTTCTTTTCTTTCCTTTTTTTTTTGGAGACAAAGAGTCTCACTCCGTTGCCCAGGCTACAGTGCAGTGGCATGACCCTGGCTCACTCCATCCTCTGCCTCCTGGGTTCAAGCAGTTCTCCTGCCTCAGCCTCCTGAGTAGCTGGGACTACAGGCATGTGCCATTGTGCCCAGCTAATTTTGGTATTTTTAGTAGAGGCAGGGTTTCACCATGTTGGTCAGGCTGGTCTTGAACTCTTGACCTCATGATCTGCCTGTCTCGGCCTCCCAAAATGCTGGGATTACAGGTGTGAGTCACTGTGCCTGGCCTTGATTTCAAAAGATGTATGGAAACACCTGGATGCCCAGGCAGAAGTTTGCTGCAAGGGCAGCGTTCATGGAGAACCTCTGTGAGAGCAGTATGAAAAGGAAATGTGGGGTCGGAGACCCCACAATGAGTACTGAGGCACCATCCTCCAGACCCCAGAATGGTAGATCCACTGACAGTTTGCACCATGCACCTAGAAAAGCCAGAGACTCAACACCAGCCATGAAAGCAGCTGGGAGGGAGGCTGTACCCTGCAAAGCCACAGGAGCAGAGCTGCCTACAATCATAGGAACCCTGGCCAGGCACGGTAGCTCATGCCTACGATCCCAGCACTTTGGGAGGCTGAGGCAGGTGGATCACTTGAGGTCAGGAGTTCAAACCCAGCCTGGCTAACATGGTGAAACCCATTTCTACTAAAAAAAAAAAAAAAAAAAAAAAAAAAAAAAAATACAAAATTAGCCAGGCGTGGTAGTGCATGCCTGTAATCCCAGCTACTTGGGAGGCTGAGGCAGGGGAATTGTTTGAACCTACGAAGTGGAGGTTGCAATGAGCCGAGATTGCGCCATTGCACAAGAGCAAAATCCCGACTTTTAAAAAAAAAAAAAAAAAAAAAAAAAGGACCACCTCTTGCATCTGTGTGACCTGAATGTGAGACATGGAGTCAAAGGAGTTCATCATTTTAGAGCTTTAAGATTTGACTGCCAAAAAACAAACAAACAAAAAAAGATTTGACTGCCCTGCTGGATTTCAGACTTACAGCCCCTTTGTTTCAGATAGCCCCTTTGATTTCAGACTGCAGCCCCTTTGTTTCTGCCAATTTCTCCATTTGGAATGGCTATATTTACCCTATGCCTGTACATCCATTGTATCTAGGAAGTAACTAACTTGATTTTGATTTTACAGGTTCACAGGCAGAAGGGACTTGCCTTGTCTCAGATGAGACTTCTGACTGTAGACTTTTAAGTTAATGCTGAATGAGTTAAGACTTTGGGAGACTGCTGGAAAGGCATGACTGGTTTTCAAATGTGAGGACATGAGATTCAGGAGGAGCCAGGAGCAGAATAATATGGTTTGGCTATGTCCCCATCCAAATCTCATCTAGAATTCCCATGTGTTATGGGAGGGAACCAGTGGGAATTAAGTGAATCATGGGGGCAGGTCTTCCCTGTGCTGTTACTATATTGAATAAGTCTCACATGATCTAATGGTTTTTTAAAAAGGCGGGGGTTTCCCTGCACAAGCTCTCTTTTGTCTGCTGCCATGTGAGATATGCCTTTCACCTTCTGCCATGATTGTGAGGCCTCCCCAGCCACATGGAATTCAAAGTCCAATAAACCTCTTTATTTTGTAAATTGTCCAATCTTAGGTATGTCTTTATCAGCAGCGTGAGAATAGACTAACACAGAAATCTACATCCAGGAAAATACGGCCAAGCACTTTGTAGGAAGCCTTCATTCAGTTCTAAAATAAGGATTAGGCCGGGTATGGTCCCAGTACTTTCGGAAGCTGAGGTAGGAGGATCATAAGGTCAGGAGTTTAAGACCAGCCTGACCAACATGGTGAAATCCCGTCTCTACTGAAAATACAAAACTTAGCTGAGCTTGGTGGCACGTGTCTGTAATCTCAGCTACCCAGGAGGCTGAAGCAGGAGAACTGCTTGAAACCGGGAGGTAGAGGTTGCAGTGAGCCGAGATCATGCCACTGCACACCAGCCTAGGCTACAGAGCGAGACTCCATCTCCAAAAAAAAAAAGAAAGAAGAATCAAAAAGAAAACACTTGCAGCTAAAAACTAAGTTTAAAAGCTGAACAGGTGTGGTATATTACCTGTAGTCCTCAGCAATCGAAGCCAGCAGTTTCCTACAAGTCCTATTATCAAAACGGCACACACAGCGCATTGTTTCCTGAAGTTGAGCCATTAAGTTCTTATCTTGTAAATTAATTGCTTCAGCTATTTGAACTTTTAAAAAGCATACAATTTCATTGTCTAAATAAAAGAAACAAGAATTCTGTTATTATTGAGAATTTCCATGGGCTTAATTAAGCTAACTCTCAGCATTTGAGATGTTAATTCTGCTTTGTCATGTATCATTAGAACTAAGCTGTACTGCCACTCTCAATTAGAAAATACTTTAATAAACCAGTAACCAAAGTGCTCCTAAGTGACACTAATATAAACATATTAAGTTGAACCATATGGAATTGCAGTACAGCTTAAATAGCTGAATACTGGCAATTTCATACGGTGCAACCCATAAACACAGGAAAAAATAAACAATCCTGTAGCAATTTACCTTCTGGGTCTGTGTGGTCTGGTAAACCATTCCTTGTTGTATGGGTCAGCACTGGGAAGGCAACAGAGTCCGCAGAGCAAAGAGCAAGCCTCAGTTTCTTTTTCACATCTCTGAAGAATGAGTAGAAAATACATTAATTTCTTTATCCAGATATGGTCACATTTTACAAATATTTACTATATAAATTAATGTTACCTTAGGACCCAAATGTTTCAAACATTTTTAAAAACTTATTTTTTTAACTGACACTCCACTTAAAAAAACAGGCTTTTTCCTTTTTTTTTTTTTTTGAGACAGAGTTTCACTCTTATTGCCCAGGCTGGAGTGCGATGGTACGATCTTGGCTCACTGAAACCTCCATCTCCTGGGATTGAATGATTCTCCTGCCTTAGCCTCTCAAGCAGCTGGAATTACAGGCATGTGCCAACATGCTCAGGCCCAGTTAATTTTTTATTTTTAGTAGAGACAGGATTTCTCCATGTTGGTCAGGCTGGTCTCGAACTCCTGACATCAGTTGATCCACCTGCCTTAGCCTCTCAGTGGGCTGGGATTATAGGCCACTACGCCTGTCAAAAAACAGGCTTTCTAATTATCCCAGGAGCCAGGTAATAAAAGTGTGTGGGGCAAGGACCATTCTTAAGGGCACCAGAATCAAACAACAAATCCTTTCTGACCTTTTTTCATACACTGAGTTCCATGATAGGTGCTATAAGAATCAGAAAAGCATATTATGGCAGAGTGGGAGGGACCACAGAAGTCAGAAGCCCCCAGCACCCAGATTTGGAATGCCTCCTGGCATATCTCTTGAGAAACGCTGATGATGGCACAAGATAAGCTCACTACCTGATAAGAAACCCTTTCTTCTTTTTTTCTTTTCTCTTTTTTCCCTTTTTCTCTTTTATAAAGTCAGAGTTTTGCTATGTTGCCCAAGCTCATCTCCAACTCCTGGGTTCTAGTGATCCACCTGCCTCAGCCTCCCAAAGTGCTGGGATTACAGACGTGAGCTACCGTGCCAAGTTTTTTTTTAAATCCTTTTATTAAAGCTTTGGATTGAGCCGGGCACGGTGGCTCAAGCCTGTAATCCCAGCACTTTGGGAGGCCGAGGCGGGTGGATCACAAGGTCAAGAGATCGAGACCATCTTGGTCAACAAGGTGAAAGCCCGTCTCTACTAAAAATACAAAAAATTAGCTGGGCATGGTGGTGTGTGCCTGTAATCCTAGCTACTCAGGAGGCTGAGACAGGAGAATTGCCTGAACCTAGGAGGCAGAGGCTGCGGTGAGCCGAGATCGTGCCATTGCACTCCAGCCTGGGTAACAAGAGCGAAACTCCGTCTCAAAAAAAAAAAAAAGCTTTGGATATATAACATCTACAACTGAAACAAAGTCTTCTTAGCAAACAGCATTTCATTTTTCTGTCCCTGCTTTATACATTTATTGATTCAACACATCACTTGTCTTGACGTGACTGCAATGGTGCTGAAAAGTCCCAACCCTAAAGCCCCAAATCCTATAAAAAAAATACCTATAAGAGAAAGCTGAATCCTGCGGGTGGGCTGCTTGGCTTGCAGAGTCTGGAAGATCATCAGCTGAGATGTTCTGCAGCGCTTCGTCACGGGGAGAATCATGTGCACTTTCACCATCACCCATAACCTCTAAACAAAACCCACCCCCAAGAAAAGGATAACCAGGTTCATTTGGAATATTCAGAGCAATTCAAGAATAAATTAGCACTGACTAACAATAAGAGTTCTCTGGGGAAAAAAAAAAAGAAAGAAAAAACAAACTACAAATACTTAACTGAATTACCAATAGCAACAATTATGTATCAAGAGACTAGTTGCTGAGAAGAGAGTGGTTTTACTTCTTATCCAATTCTAATGCAAAACAATGAAAGTCCACATTAACTTAATAAAGTTAATATCTTGTAATCAGCCTCAATGAATCAGGGAACAAAAAGAGGCTTCAAAAAACATTTTATACCCACCTTTTATAGACATGGGCTTCTGCCCAGTCAGAAAATGGCTTGCTCTAAATTCCTTGGTTGGCCAATGGCTGAGGTTGACTATGGGTTCAGGTCTCCTAATTCTCCCTACTGGAGGTCTTTCTGCTACACCCAAGAACAAGTCAGGGGACCAACTCACAAATGCAGCAAGGTAAGATCTGGGGTTTCCAAGTTTGGTTTTATGTCTTAATCAAGAATAGCTGGGTACAGTGCCTCAAGCCTGTAATTCCAGCACTTTGGAAGGCCGAGGTGGGCAGATGACCTGAGGTCAGGAGTTCAAGACCAGCCTGACAAATATGGGGAAACCCTGTCTCTATGAAAAATACAAAAATCAACCAGGTATGGTAGTGAACACCTGTGGTCCCAGCTACTCAGGAGGCTGAGGCAGGAGATTGCTTGAACACGAGAGGTGGAGGTTGCAGTGAGCTGAGATTGCACCACTGCACTCCAGCCTGAGCAACAAAGTGAGACACATCTCGAAAAACAAAAACAAAAAAATATGTAAATAAAAAGTATGGCTAGGCATGGGACAGGAAGATCGCTTGAGCTCAGGAATTCAAGACTAGCCTGGGCAACATAGCGAGACTGCACCTCTACAAAAAAAATAAAAAGATAAAGGAATAAAAAGTCCCAAAATATAATAAATGTATTGTGTTTATATATGAAAATATCCTTATTCTTTGGAGATAATTTCAAATGCTTCAGGAAAAGATACAGGGAGACCACAATTATGTGGCTTTTATATTTCTGAAATATAAACCCTGTCTCTACAAAAATAAACAAAAGTTAGCTGGACACAATGGAACATGACTGTGGTCCCAGCTACTCAGGAAGCTGAGATGGGAGGATCGCCTTAGCCTGGGGAGGTTGAGGATGCAAGATCGTGCCATGGCACTCCAGCCTAGGTGACAGTAAGATCAGATCGTATAAAAAAAAAAAAAATGTGTGTGTATACACACACACTCTCCCTCTCCCCCTCTATCTCTGTGTGTGTGTGTGTGTGTGTATAAACATGGGGGGAAGTGGCAAAACATTAACAATTGATAAGTCAGCCGGGCACGGTGGCTCAGCCTGTAATCCCAGCACTTTGGGAGGCCGAGGCGGGTGGATCACGAGGTCGAGAGATCGAGACCATCCTGGTCAACATAGTGAAACCCCGTCTCTACTAAAAATACAAAAAACTAGCTGGGCGTGGTGGCACGTGCCTGTAATCCCAGCTACTTAGGAGGCTGAGGCCGGCGAATTGCCTGAGCCCAGGAGGCGGAGGTTGCGGTGAGCAAAAAAAAAAAAAAAAAAAAAACAATTGATAAGTCTAGATAGAGAGTATATGAACTTTCATCGTATTATTCTTTCAATTTTTCTGTTATTTGGAAACTACTCAAAATAAAAAAAGACAGGAAGTTCTCCTTTCTACCCACTCTTCCTTTGAGGCTTCCTAGGAGTCTTCCTAGAGTCTTCCTTACCAGTTTGTTGGAGATACTTCCAGAAGCTACTCTATGTGCATATAAGCATAAATACGTATTTATGCAGTATACTATTTACGTTTTTTTTGTTTTGTTTTTGTTTTTGTTTTGAGACAGGGTCTTGCTCTGTTGCCCAGGCTGGAGTGCAATGGTATCATCTCAGGTCACTGCAACCTCTGCCTCCTGGGATCAAGTGATTCTCACACCTCAGTCATCTGAGTAGCTGGGATTATAGGCATGCACCACCACATGCAGCTAACTTTTTGTATTTTTGGTAGAGAAAGTATTTTGCCATGTTGGCCAGGCTGGTCTCGAACTGGCCTCAAGTCATCCGCCCACCTGGGCCTGGGATTATAGGTGTGAACCACCTTGCTCAGCCCCTAATATTTATGTTTTTATACACTTTTCCCCTTCATTTATCTTGGGGACTGTATCTCATTTTTCTGAAAGCTATTCAGTATTCCATTATGAGAAAAACAGAATCCTTTAAAACAAGTAGCAGGTGACAACGTACAACTTGTCCCAATAGTCTGCTCCCATAGCTATACTGAGTGTACATAACTGGATACAATTAGAAAGCTGTAGACAGTGAAAAAGAACCCCCTCCCATTAAAGTATGCCCCAACTCCCTGGGGGCCAGTCACCCCAGATGCAAAGGATGACAACTCTAAGGCATCTGAATATTCAGGGGTACCCAGGCCTAGTAGGAGAGTCCAGAGAAAGACATCAATTTAAACATTTAGATAGTCTGTAATTTTGAGGTAGTAGATTGATTCCCTTAGCTATTCTTTCTTTTAAAGGCCACGTAAATTCAGATTACCTTTATCACTATGATATAAAAGTTTACTACTCAAATCTCTGTCATGATTATCACCTGTACTTTCATAGTTGGCCATTGCTCCATCACCGGGGCTGGTCCGTTTAATGGCATTCCTGTATTTGTCCAGAATATCCTCAGCGACCTGAGCTTGTGCACTGAGTCTAGGGCTAGGATCATCTGCAAAGGGAAGGAGAGTGAGAGAATTAGCCCCTTTGGTTTGTACCCACTCTGATGTTAGTATGACACCAGTAGCATAATCCCGAAGGCGGATTAGGAGGTTAAGACTTAAAAAGAGCACATATCTCAATGTTAAGAGGCACCATGCAGCTGCCTACTCATCCCATTTCTAGGTCTGAGAGCCTTGTCAAAGCAGGAAATTGGGAAGAGTAGCTCCACCTTCTGATCACCACCAAAATGACAATGTCAAAGTTCAGCGCAGACTGAATGGATGACGGATTTCTAAAGTGTTTACACTCAAATGACTGTTACCAGCAATTCATGCTAACAGAACTTCCAATAGTGCATTTTATATGCAGACTTCATTTATTCAGACATCTCTATGCTGAAGGAGGAAAAAAAAAACTATTCAAATTTAGACTTAAACCCCTTTAAATAACAACAAATGTCCTTTTCCATTCTTCCTTTATGATTCTCTCTCTAAGCATTTGAAAACTAATAATATTCATATTCTATCTCACTAGATCTCACCATGACAGGGCAGCTGCTGGAATAGAGCACTTTTGTGCATGCAATGGTATCAGAGGCACTCCTAGAGAATCTAGACATTCTTGGGGAGTGCTGGAAATTGTATCTGAGATGCATAGAGAAAAAGCTTATCACAGTCACAAATGCAGCACTGTTTACTGACAGGACCATTACTCTGTCAAAATCAGCACATCAAAAATATTATCCTGGAGTCTAAAATGGTAGTCATTAATTAACTAGTTATTAAAACAAGAGATTGCTATACATCTACGGGACAAAGTTCCATAGTGAAACACAAACTCCTGGGATAGACCTAGGCCAGGCAGGTGACCATAAATGGTCATATTCTGGTAGAATCCCATTTTCTGGAAATTATAAAAACACACATATATCAAATATGTATGTGTATATATATATATATGTGTGTGTGTGTGTGTGTGTGTGTGTGTGTGTGTGTGTGTGTTCACAGCAGCTACTAGCAGCTAACATTTATGGAGAACTTACCACATGCCAGGAACTGTGCTAAGCACGTTATAGAGATTATCTCAATTAGTGATCAAACAACCTTACAGAGAAATATTGTTGTTATTCTCATTTTACAGAAGATGAAATCAAGACATAGAGAAGTTAAGTAGCATGCTCATAGGCTTTTCTTCTGTTTCCATGAAATAAATATATGGTTTTCATGTCTCCGTAAAATTGTAGTAAACTGAACAACCCTTGAACAACATGAGTTTGAACTGCGCAGGTCCATTTACACACAGTTTCTTGCAATCAAATACAAATTAAAAATACTATATAAGCTGGGCACGGTGGCTCATGCCTGTAATCCTAGCACTTTGGGAGGCCAAGGCAGGAGGATCACCTGAGGTCAGGAGTTCAAGACCAGCCTGGCTAACATGGCGAAACCCCAACTCTACTAAAAATAGAAAAATTAGCTGGGCATGGTTGTGCATGCCAACAATCCCAGCTACTTGGGAGGCTGAGGCAGGAGATCACTTGAACCCAGGAGGCAGAGATTGCAGTGAGCCGAGATCACGTCACTACATTCCAGCCTGGGCAATAGAGCGAGACTCTGTCTCAAAAAAAAAAGAGAGAGAAAAGAAAATACTACATTTCACAGAGAGCTGTGAAACAAGCATACCAGGAAGGTCAACTTTCGCATACAGGTTCCACATGGCCAACTGCAGGACTCAAGCATGCAGGGATTACGGTATGGGATGGGGAGCAAGGGTCCTGGAACCAATTCCCTGAGTGTGCAGAGAGACAACTGTATATAGAGAGGATTTCCAAAGTAATTTAGCATTTCTGCTATAACAGTATTTGAATTCATAAGAGATTCCTAATAAAATTTGATCTTTCTCCAAATGTAAATTCATAACACATTTATCATTACAGAATCTTGTTTTGAAGGGGAAGTATTTTTTAGCTATTGGGTTTTTGTTTTTTGGTTTTTGGTTTTTTTTAATTGAAACAAGGTCTTGCTCTGTTACCCAGGCTGGAGTGCAGTGGCACATAGCTCAATGTAACCTCAAACTCCTGGCCTCCAGCAGTCCTCTCAATTTGACCTCCCAAAAAATAACTGGGATAATAGGCATGGCCCACTTCACCCAGTTGGTTATTACTTTTGAGTGCTGTTGAGAGCTCTGAAAAAGGGACCATATAATACATTATGACTAAACACAGTGAGACTCACAAAGTTGCTTATAATCTTTATTTCTATTAACACTGTTCTTAAAAATTGTCCCCCAGACAATAATTAAAATGAACAAAAAATACAATATATATAAATCTGTGAGTACTATTTTCATAATAAAAAATTGGAGGCCGGGCGCGGTGGCTCAAGCCTGTAATCCCAGCACTTTGGGAGGCCGAGGTAGGTGGATCATGAGGTCAAGAGATCGAGACCATCCTGGTCAACGTGGTGAAACCCCATCTCTACTAAAAATACAAAGCATTAGCTGGGTATGGTGGCGCGTGCCTGTAATCCCAGCTACTCAGGAGGCTGAGGCGGGAGAATTGCCTGAACCCAGGAGGCGGAGGTTGTGGTGAGCCAAGATCACGCCATTGCACTCCAGCCTGGGTAACAAGAGCGAAACTCCGCCTCAAAAAAAAAAAAAAAAAAATGGGAACAATTTAAATAGCCAATAATTAGAGAACATTTACACTGCAGTAAAATCATGATAAATTATTTTATAGCCAATAAAAATGATTTAAAACCCAACTATGGGGTGCAATGGCTCACGCCTATAATCCCAGCACTTTGGGAGGCTGAGGTGGGTGGATCATGAGGTCAAGAGATTGAGACCATTCTGGTCAACAAGGTTAAACCCCATCTCTACTAAAAATAGAAAAATTAGCTGGGCCTGTAGTCCCAGCTACTCGGGAGGCTGAGGCAGGAGAATTGCTTGAACCCAGGAGGCGGAGGTTGCAGTGAGCCGAGATCGTGCCATTGCACTCCAGCCTGGGTAACAAGAGCGAAACTCCGTCTCAAAAAAAAAAAAAAATCTAAAATCCAACTATGTTTAGTAGAAATTGGGAGAGGGTTTATAAAATAACTTGGTAAAAGAAGAATACAAAGTCACATGCATAATCTAATTCAATCAAGAAAAAGCCATGTACAAACGTGGAAAAAGATTAGGAGGTAACAGCAAAATAAAAATTAGGGTTACAGAATTATGAACAGACTACTAGAAAATTTCCTCCTATAACATGTTTAAATTGGTTTAATAATAACTTTCAATGAGTCATTAATAAGGACTGGGTAGAAATTTCTGGATCAGTAGGGAAGCTAACCTACTTGAATTACAGCCAAAGAAAACAAATTACTTTAGGAAAAAGAGTTATTCTACTCTACTTAGATTCTAGTTCCAGTATCAAAAACCAAGAAAAATATACTGCCCAAAGAGGGTAAGTAAAATATAACTCCTTCAAACAAACAAATAAAAATAATTTATAACTTCTTCAAAGTTAGTGATTCAACGTTTTTAAAACATGAGATGTCATTAATAGTAATTCACTCTGTAAACACTGGTGGTGTTCTAACATTAGGAACATGTGATAAGAATACATAAATATTTTGCCAAAAGGACAATGTCTTTCCAACTCTTTCCAATCAGACTGGAAGGTCCTGAAGAACAGAGGTCATGCGTGATTTGACTTAATACCCACAACACTTAGCACAGTGCCTGGCAAGAGTCACATGGTCAGTAAGTATTTACTGACTGAACAGGACAGGCTTGGCTACTCTCAGCAGGGAACTTTGGCCTGTAAGCATATTTCCTGCTGTTCAAACCCCTTTATTCTGGAGTAATTACCATTTTAAATAAGCAAGGACTTACATGCTAGGATACAGAAATACATCTAAATATATGGAACTAAACATTAGAATGGGATTCCACCTGTAATGGGATTCCACCTGTAATGCTGAACTATTTGAGGAGGATGTTCTTAACCTATTATCTACCCCATTTTTAAATAAAACTATTTAATGAAACAAAAACTTCACTTTAACTTAATAGGATAACAATTCAAATTCAAAATTCAAAAAAAAAAAAAAAAAAGAAGAAATGGACTTCCCTCTAGACCAGGGGTGTTCAATCTTTTGGCTTTCTTGGGCCAAAAAGGAGGAAGAATTGTCTTGGGCCACACACGAAATACACTAACCCTAATGGTAGCTAATGAGCTTTTAAAAAAAAAAAAGGGTTCCTGTATAAATCTCATACTATTTGAAGAAAGTTTGCAAATTTGTGTTGGGCCAGATTCAAAGCCATCCTGGGCTGCATGTGGCCTGAGGTCCATAGGTTGGACAAACTTCCTCTAGATGCTCTATAGACACCGGAGACAATACACAGCTAACAAACCCAAGGCTGGGTCATTCACACTACTCTCGAACTCTCCTTTTTAGGGTGCTCATTAAGCAGTTGCAGAAATACAAACGCTTAATAAGATAAACACCCAACCCCCAGCTGTATTTTCCTTGGGTCAGATGGCAATGTTAAAATTAGTCAAGCTGTAAAAAATTAGTAAAGTTTTTAAAACTTTCATTATAACGGTTGGCATTTATGATATTGTTTGAACACACACTTTATCACAAAAAAAGGAAACAATTAGGTGAAACAGAATTTCACTGTCATCTTGAATAATCAAAAACAAACTACAGATGAAAATAAATGTAGAATTCTATGATCACTGTTAGAGAAAACTATTCAATCAATGATCCAAAGATAAAGCATGCACAGCACTAAAACTGTCACCACACTTTCCTAAAAGGCATTGTGTGTCATCATCCCACTAGATGGTGAGTTGTAGGGTACACCTAGAGGCTCAGGATCAGGGGCCTCATCGTAAACAGAGTAATGATAATGAGGATGATGATGGTGGTAGCAGTCTGCAGGAAGAGCACACTGAGGTTTACTGTGGCTGCTAACTGGAAACCACAGAGGTATGAAGAACATACTCCCCACTGTACACACGCAGACACACTCTTCTAAAAAGGCAACGCTTATGGTACCCAAGAAAAAGTGTTATGAAATATGTGCTCTGGGAATGAAGGAGCCAGGAAGTCCATGGGTCTACAAACCTGTGAGTGTTGAGAATCTGTCAGGCCCCAGATCATCTTTGTCTTTTTCTTGTTTTTCTTTCTTTCTAAATGGTATAGGAGCTGGAAATTAAATAAAGTCAGTAGTGTGACATATAACATACTGCACTACTTGGAAGTTAACTGGTGTGCCAAAATTTCTAAGCGAAAGGAGGCTGAAAAGTTTAAAAGCTAAGAAATTAAAAGCGTTGACTGATAACTGTCCTTAAAATAGTATTGAAGGTTTTTAAAGGAGCTTTCAGAATCTGCTTCGGAGTCATCTGTCATAGGAAGAATGATTTAACAGGAATCCATTGGGACTAAATCAAAACCACTGACTCTTAACCTCTGCTCAAAATCAACACATTCAAAACTCCTAGTTCATTCCCTCCTCCTCATCGAGCGGCTTGAGTATGGCATGAGAGCAGCTCTCCCCAGAGTTCCTGAGCGCCACCGTGCTGAGAAGAGGCCTTTGGAAGAAGTTTCTATCTTTACTCCTGGATGATCTCTCCTTTCAGGAAGAGATGTTTTGCCAACTCAAATGATGCCAGGCTGTTCCAAAAAAGTAAACAATTTTATACAGCTACCTTTCAAAATAAACACTCACTGATATTTACCATATAAACATTCTCAATGAACATAGACATAAAAAGCTTAAATTTATTCCAGGAATATAAAGGATGAATTTTCAATGTTTAATTATCAATAGTGTCCCATTTTCCTGCAATAATTAATAGCAATATATATGTCAAAAGTACTTATGATATTTTAACTACAATGGTATGTGATATTTAAACAATAGCGACAGGCATGACTTCCATTTACGAAACCACTACCACTTCCTGCAAAGAACAAGAACATTTCTAAAGCTCTGCCTTAGCATTCATCTAAGTGAAACCATTTTCTACACCCTCAAAGTAGCTAGAAACAGGCCCAGCAAGTCTCACAGAGAAACTGAGATACTGGCTCTCTGAAGAGATTCTGGGGCTTCGCTTCTTATTGCTAATACAGCATTCTAATATTTTATAAAATTACCTTTAGGCATGGCTGAAACAAAACGTTTTCTCCACCAAGGTCTGTTCCTGTCTGATTTCTCATCATCGCTATCTTTGCGTTCTTCAGTCTGTAGAAAAAGTTGGAGGCTTTATTTGGAGTTTGATAGCAGGATAAATTACTAAGAAAAGGATTTTTTTTTTTTTGAGACAGGATCTCATTCTGTTGCCCAGGCTGGAGTGCAGTAGCACAGTCACAGCTCACCACAGCCTCAACTTCTCTGGCTCAAGCAATCCAACCTCCCCTCAGCCTCCCAAGCAGCTAGGACGACAGATGTACACAACATCATGCCCAGCTAATTTTTTTTTTTTTTTTTTTTTTTGAGACAGAGTCTCACTCTGGCGCTAAGCGCCAGGCTGGAGTGCAGTGGTGTGATCTCGGATCACTGCAACCTCCACCTCCGAGGTTCAAGCAATTATCCTGCCTCAGCCTCCCACGTAGCTGGGACTACAGGTGTGCGCCACCATGCCCAGCTAATTTTTGTTATTTTTTTTTAGTAGAGATGGGGTTTCACCACGTTGGCCAGGATGGTCTCGATCTCTTGACCTCGTGATCCACCCGCCTCGGCCTCCCAAAGTGCTGGGATTACAGGCACAAGCCAAGGCACCCAGCCGCCCAGCTAATTTTTAATTTTTATTTTGTAGAGATAAGGTCTTACTATGTTGCTCAGGCTGAAAGGATTTAAGTAGGTCTGTGAAATAAGAAAGTCAGTCTTTGCCTTAAGGTAAAACTCTTCTGATTGCCATATAGGTGCCTTTTGAAGCACACTGTCATTTGCTTGAGGGTAGGCACTATCTCCTTACTGTTAATAAACCGAAGGCTTAATACAGAGCCTGGTGTAAATGAGGCACTCAATAAATACTTATGAGAAAAGTAAATGCAAATAAACTCCAGAAGAGCAGTAGAGATGGTAGCAGTAGCACTAATAATGAAACCAAGTGTGTACCATGTGCCAGAAGCTGAGCATACTAAGTTATCATTGAAACATGCAAAAGGGGCTGGGTGTGGTGGCCCATGCCTGTAATCCCAGCACTACGGGAGACCAAGGTGGGTGGATCACCTGAGGTCAGAAGTTCAAGACCAGCCTGGACAACATGGTGAAACCTTGTCTCTAAAAATACAAAATACAAAAATTATTTGAGTGTGGTGGTGTGTGCCTATAATCCCAGCTACTTGGGAGGCTGAGGCAGGAGAATTGCTTGAGGGAGAGGTTGTGGTGAGCTGAGATCATGCCATTGTACTCCAGCGTGGGCGACAGAGTGAGACTCCATCTCAAAAAACAAACAAACAAACAAAACATGCCAAAGGACAGGGACTGTTAATTCCTTTACTAGCCTATCATGTGACCATGGACAAATCACTTAATTTCCATTTTTCATCTACATGCCTGGGATAAAGAATTATCAGAACCCTAGCAGAGAAATGAGGGCATCTGTACCAGGAAAGAGTTAATTTAACAGTGGGGAGGAGAAACTGATTACATACTGGGGAACTGATCGAATAAATACACACATGAAAAATAGTGAAAATAGACTTCTCACTGTTGGAGAAAGGAGTTACAAATCTGGAAAGGAAGAAAGATAAAACAAACTATTGTGTCAGGACTAGAATTAAATGTGTCAGTGTAAGTTCATGGTCCTACTTATGGAGAAAGATAAAGGAAATATACAGGTAAACATGAGTATACACACACACATACTCCCTAGCTCTGTCCACAGCAAAGGAACACTGTATCTAGAGCTCAATTTCCAAAACAGCATTTTTCATGAAAAGAAACAAGGGTACTTGGAGAAAGACCAGACTAGGACAAAGTACAGTATCCGCTTCTAACATCTTGTGCCAGAAAGTAAAACTATGCTCAAAGAGTAACAGCAGTGCATCAAAAGAACTCAGAAGCCAGCCTGAAGGGGCTCCCACTGGCCCAATCAGAGACAATTGGGCTTCAAAATAAATAAGAGTGACAAACCCTAATGAAGACAGAAAACTGGGCCAGGCATGGTAGGTGGCTCACGCCTGTAATCCCAATACTTGGGAGGCTGGGGTGGAAGGATTGCTTGAGCCCAAGAGTTTAAGACAGGGCACCTGGGCAACAAAGTGAGTCCCCATCTCCACACAAAAAAATTAAAAAAAAAAAAAAAAAAATTAGCCAAGCATGTGGTACACGCCTATACTCCCAGCTACCTGGGAGGCCAAAGTGGGAGGAATGCCTGAGCCTCGGAGGTTAAGGTTGCAGTGAGCAGTGTTGGTACCACTGCACTCCAGCATGGGTGATAGAGCAAGAGCCTATCTAAAAAATACACACACACACACACACACACACACACACCTTTTAAAAAGACAGAAAACCATGAAACCATAGACATAATTAATAGGTAAAGTTAAAAATTTGATGGAGAACAGTATAGTTACATATTTTTTAAGTACCCTCTCCCCAAAATACTTATTAATTATAAAGGGAAAAAGAGTAACTTTACAGTGGCAAAGCCTGGAAGACAACACTTCATCAAATTATCCAAATGAACATCGTAGAAATGGGACAAATTAAAACTGTGCTACCTAACGAAGTGCAATGAAAAAAAGTGTCATTTCAGTGATGTTCCTGCCAAAGATGGATAACCTCAATCTAATCATAAGAAAACATCAAACCTGGGCTGGGCACAGTGGCTCACGCCTGTAATCCCAGCACTTTGGGAGGCTGAGGCGGGTGGATCAAGAAGTCAAGAGATCGAGACCATCCTGGTCAACATGGGGAAACCCTGTCTCTACTAAAAATACAAAAAATTAGCTGGGCATGGTGGCACACGCCTGTAATCCAGCTATTCAGGAGGCTGAGGCAGGAGAATTGCCTGAACCCAGGAGGCGGAGGTTGTGGTGAGCCGAGATCGCGCCATTGCACTCCAGCCTGGGTAACAAGAGCGAAACTCTGTCTCAAAAAAAAAAAAAGGCCGGGCACGGTGGCTCAAGCCTGTAATCCCAGCACTTTGGGAGGTCGAGGCGGGTGGATCACAAGGTCGAGAGATCGAGACCATCCTGGTCAACATGGTGAAACCCCATCTCTACTAAAAATACAAAAAATTAGCTGGGCATGGTGGCACATGCCTGCAATCCCAGCTACTCAGGAGGCTGAGGCAGGAGAATTGCTTGGACCTAGGAGGCGGAGGTTGCGGTGAGCTGAGATCACGCCATCGCACTCCAGCCTGGGTAGCAAGAGCGAAATTCCGTCTCAAAAAAAAAAAAAGAAAAGAAAACATCAAACCTAAACTGAAGAACATTCTAGAAAACAAATAACCTGTAAATTTCAAGAGTGTCAAGGTCATACGAGTTAAAAAAAAAAAAACTGAGGGCTGTTCTTGACTGAAGAGACTAAAAAGCAGCCTGTGATTCTGAATAGAATCCTTTTACTATAAAAAGGAGGCTGGGCACAGTGGCTCACACCTATAATCCCAGCACTTCGTGAGTCCTCAGTGGGTGGATCACAAAGTCAGGAGTTCGAGCCCAGCCTGGCCAATATGGTGAAACCCCCAACTCTACTAAAAATACAAAAATTAGCTGGGCATGGTGGCAGGCGCCTCTAGTCCCAGCTACTAGGGCGGCTAAGGCAGGAAAATCACTTGAACCCAGGAGGTGGAGGTTGCACTGAGCCAAGATCATGCCACTGACTCCAGTCTGGGCAACAGAGCAAGACTGTCTTAAAAAAAAAGTTATAGGGATAACTGGGGACATGTGAATGGGGTGTGAGAACTAGCCAGTTGATACATATCCATTCATGTATCAATGTTCATCTGCTGAAGCTGATGGTTTTACCTTGAGATGCAGGAGAATCTGCTTGTTTGTAAAAACTTACACTAAAATGCTCAGGGGTATCAGAGCATCAGGTTGGCAACTTGCTCTAAAATAGGGCGAAAGCGTTCTTTTATTGTACTTCCAACTTGTTTATAACTTTATGATTGTTAAAACAAAAAAATAAAAAATGCTCATTGGACTGGGCACGGTGGCTCATGCCTGTAATCCCAGTACTTTGGAAGCCGAGGTGGGCAGATCACAAGGTCAGGAGTCTGAGACCAGCCCCACCAACATGATAAAACCCTGTCTCTACTAAAAATATAAAAAATTAGCTGGGTGCAGTGGCACGTGTCTGTAGTCTCAGCTATTCAGGAGACTGAGGAAAGATAATTGCTTGAACCTGGGAGGCAGAGGTTGCAGTGAGCCAAGAACATGCCAGTGCACTCTAGCCTGGGCAACAGAGTGAAACTCTGTCTCAAAAAAAAAAAAAAAAAAAAAGGAAAGAAAAAACTCATCTAACATCTCAGAGGGATATTGTTAAGGTTTAAATATAAATAAAAATTGCTTGGAGAGAAGCTAAAGGTGTCATAAAAATGCAAGACAGTATTACTACAAAACCACAGTTGTATAGGTTGCAAGCACATCAGATTGACGAATCATCTTTAATCATGACTACTCTCCATCTATAATCCTAGATTTATATATTCCATGTAATTTCAGATATCAAGAGAACCAGGCAGGCAGAACACAATTCTTCTTCAGGGCCTATGTCCCATACCTCTCCTCTTGAGGAGTCTTTACTCGGGGATGAAGATGATGAGTGAGGTGCAGCCACCAAAGAAGTAGCACCAATGGCTGCAGCTGGAGGGAGTTCCCGCTCTTCATTTCCTGGACGCCGGTTCCAGCTGGGGTCACTCATGGGTCTCCGGACCGAAGACACAATATCAGAGCTCCTGCTTCGAACTAGTCTCTCAGGGTAAGAATGCCTTTGCTTGAATGCCTCCATTTCAGCTGGAGTTAAAACATGGGAACCAAAGTTGGGCAACCTGGCCTCATTTCCTCCCACAGCTCCTTCCAGGATTGGGGGATCTGGTGGTGGATGCGAAGGCCTAGCATAGTGAACCTTTGGCCTTACCACAGCGGAAGCCCCTATAATACAGGAAAAAAAAAAAACAGTTTTGTAACTAAGACACAACTTACCTAACAAAGGCATTGACAAAGGCGTTTGGTTTCCTCCTCCTGTCTATGACATGAGTGAAAAAGTTCATTTCACTGGTTTACCTTCATGCGAAGACAGTGGATCAAACATGGCCAGCAGAGACTCTGACTGAGAAGGAGGAGAGGTCAGCTGGTGGGCACCTAAAACAGGAGGGAAACTGTGAGACCAAGCTAGAACTCAGGACAGATGGTCTCAACACAGTTCAACATAGCTAAAAAGGTTCTAAGTATTCAATTAAAAGGGTTCTAGGTATTCTCTGATGGTTCCTTTTTTGATCAATTAGAACTTGAGAGGCATACAAGAAAAAAAATCAAAGTATAATTACTTCCAATTCATTCTATATTTTTTTGTTTGTTTTTGAGACAGAGTCTAACTCTGTCGCCCAGGCTAGAGTGCAATGGTGCAGTATCAGTTCACTGCAACCTCCGCCTCCCAGGTTCAAGTAATTCTCTGCCTCAGCCTCTGGAGTAGCTGGGATTACAGGCGCCCACCACTATGCCCGGCTAATTTTTGTATTTTTAGTAGAGACGGGGTTTCAACATGTTGGTCAGGCTGGTCTCGAACTCCCTACCTCAGGTAATCTGCCCACCTCGGCCTCCCAAAGTGCTGGGATTACAGGCGTGAGCCACTGTACCTGGCCCATTTTATGTTTTCATTAGTATCTTCATATATAGATTTTCTTTACATTTAAGTGGTCTGGCATCTAATGCAAGCATGGTTCATGCAAAGAGAACAGAGCCAGAAGACCTAAACCATCAACTTTTTCAGAATGTCACAACTTCCCTGAGCCTCACTTTCCCCTCATCTGAAAATATAGGGGCAAGGTCAGGTGCAGGGGCTCACACCTGTGATCCCAGTGCTTTGGGAGGCCAAGGAGGGAGGACTACTTGAGCCCAGGAGTTCAAGACCAGTCTAGGCAAGATAGTAAGACCTTGTCTCTACAAAAATTTATAAGAACTAAAAATTTAAAAATAAATAAATAAAATATAAATACAGGGACAATACTACGTACAGGTAGGGTATAAATAAAAGGTTGTACATTTTGAAGTTCTAACACTGCTCTCAGCAAATAATTTTAAAACAGATAAGTATGCAGAGGACGGAAACTTCAAACACAAAAAACTATTAATCTAAACGTTTTTAGTCTGAAGCTATTTTGGCAGGGGGGAGGTGCTGAAGCTATATCTTTTGATAATGAATGAGAGTACTATTACACCTCTTGATTTTTCCTTTTGTTCTACAGTTAAATCATTATAAAAGATAGCCTAAAACAGCGGTTCCCAAATTTTGGTCTCAGGACTTTTTTTTTTTTAAGACAGGGTCTCACTCTGTCACCCTGGCTAAGTGCAGTGGTGCAAACATAGCTCACTGCAGCCTCGACCTCTTGAGCTTAAGTGATCCTCCTGCCTTAGCCTCCCAAACAGCTGTGAGCACAGGTGCACACCACCACACCCAGTTAATTTTTATGTTATTTTTTGTAGAGACAGGGTCTCACCACGTTGTCCAGGTTGTTCCTCCTAGGCTCTGGCACTCCTCCCACCTCGGCCTCTCAAAGTGCTGGGATTATAGGCATGAGCTACCATGCCTGGCCAAGACGTCTTTACAACTTAAAAAAATTATTGACCCTAAGAGCTTTTGTTTATGGTAATTATATCTATTGATATTCCATATTAGAAATTAAAACTGAAGTTTAAATATTTATTAATTCATTTAAACATACCCATTAGAAGGTAATACAAGGGACTCTTTCTCAACCTACTCTGGTTTGGGAAGCTGTCCATTTAAAAAAAAAAAAAAAAAAATTCTAATGGTAACATTAAAAAGCCTTTTTAAAAAAAAAATAAAAAATATTATTTTCCAAAATAAAAAATGAAAAGAATGACACTATTTAACATTTTTTGCAAATATCTTGAATGTACAGCTTACTAGAACACAGCTGGATTCTCATGTCTGCTTCTGCTTCAATGTGTTGAAAATGTTGTTGTGGCTGAAGTATATAAAGAAAATCTGGCCTCACATAGACATGTAGTTGGAAAAGGAACAATATGTTAGTAGCCTTTTCAGAAAATTGTGGATATTATTCTTTGATACTTTACTACATCTTGAGAAGTAATAGCTTTTTAAAGGATAGCTACAAGGTAGAATTTGAAACCAAATCATCGAACTTTCTGTCCTCTTTTAAACTCACATTCTTCATATCACCGCTAATCTTACTAGCAAAGACTTTAAACAACAGAAAGCTGTCAAACTCATGCAGGTAAACACAAATTTCCAAAATGCTAATTTTTATCCAAAAGTTTGAATTTAATCACTGGCAACAAACTCACTCTATTAGTTGCTTATCTTTAAGTAACAGGATCATTTTATTAATTTTTTTTTTTTTTTTTTAAAGATGGGACCACAGGCTCACACCACACCTGGCTAATTTTTTTATTTTTGTAGAGATGAAGTCTCCCTATGTTGCCCAGGCTGGTGTCAAACTCCTGGGCTCAAGGAGTCCTCCAGCCTCAGCCACTCAAAGTGTTGGGATTACAGGCGTGAGCCACCACGCCTGGCCACACTGTTAATTTTTGAGATGTCTGTCAAATACCCAAGTATGTGTTCATAAGAAATACAGTTTATCTGTCATTCTTTCAAGTAAAAATGATATTTCATGAAAAAAAAAAAAAAAAACATAAACAAGGGGAAAAAAACACTTGCTAGTTAAGCTAACAACTCAAATAATCAAATAACTGCTTCTTAAGACATCTCATTATATCTCAGGTTGCAGTGAAAATGCAATCGGGGTGCTTCCTATTTCTTCACACAGAATATTAAAAAGGTGTATACTCAGGCCAGTGCGGTGGCTCACACCTGTAATCCCAGCACTTTGGGAGGCTGAGGCAGGCAGATCACCTGAGGTTGGGAGTTCAAGATCAGCCTGAGCAACATGGATAAGCCCCACCTCTACTAAAAATGTAAATTAGCCAGCTGTGGTGGCACATGCCTGTAATCCCAGCTACTTGGGAGGCTGAGGCAAGAGAATCACTTGAACCTGGGAGGCGGAGGTTGCAGTGAGTCGAGATCATGCCATTGCACTCCAGCCTGGGCAACAAGAGCAAAACTCCATCTCAAAAAAACAAAACAGTGTACCCTCAAGGGTTGATGTAATTAAGTGATTTTTATTTTTTCATCAAAGACATTCATAAGTAAAACTTCCACTTTTGCCTATGCACCATAAGTACAAATGTCAACATAATGAAAATGGACAATAACTTTGATTTTTATGAAGACAGTTGTGACTTCATCTGCACTCTTCCCTTAAAGGGTCTTAGGACTTCCATAGTCCATGGAGACCATGCTTTGAGACTACTGGTTTAGAACAGAGGTTCTCAATTGGTGGCTATCTTCTCCCACCAAGAGATCATTTTGCAATGTCTAGAGACATTTTTGGTTGTCACAACCCCAGGCGGTAGAAGGTATATGCTACTGGTAGGGGCCAGAGATACTTAAACATCCTAAAATGCCCAGGACGGCCCCCACAACAAAGAATTTCCCAGCCTAAAATGTCAACAATGTAAAGATTTAAAAACCCTGGTTTAGAACAAAAAAATAAAATAAAAATGTAAAAATAGTAAAGGTACCTTAAAACTTACCACTCAATATATAAAACCACTGCTAGCAGTTTGGTATTTCCAGTACTTAATTCATGCATAGGTTTTTAAAAACATTTTATCATCTTGTGTGTAAAATTCTACAAAAATAAACTTTCTATGTAGTATGTTCTAGGTTTTTCTCTAAGTCATTTCATATTCTTTAAAGCATTTTAAAACAGCTACATACATTCTAATAAGTAGTTACATCAAAATTATTTAGCCACTCCATTTTTCAATTTTTAAGTTATTTCTAATTTTCTGCCAATATAAAACGTTATAAAGAAACCTTTGTGCAAAAGACTTTCTCTATACATGGAATTTTTCATTATGACTGATTCCTAAAAGTGGAACTAACCTAACTAAATTTAGAACATGAACATGTAAGGCCTTAAATACATACTGACAAAGTAGATACCAGAGTGCTATATCAATAGATGCTATCACCAGCAACGTGTCATACTGCCAGTTTCAACCATGGATGTGGTCATTTTTTAGGTCATTCTCATTTCCCCCTCTTACCGTGAGTTATTTCATCCATGTCTGGACTAGTAACAGAATCTTTACCCCCAAAATCAGAGCTGCACTCAGATCTCAGGTCTTCAATCTTATTGGGAATATCCTCAGAGGTTGCACTTATGCCTTTAAAAAAAAATAGTCAAAAATAAACAGGAAGAAAAACAAAATAACCACAGAAAGCATATGAAATTTGGAGAAATTTAAACATTCTTGAATTTTGAGTCCGAGTTCTATACATGTGAGTTTAGTATTATATCCTTTATGGTACTATTACTTAAATATACTTACCTTGCTTTACACAACATAATCAGAATCATATGATTCCAAAGTACGACAGGCTACTAAGAACAGAACAGCTGTAGAGAGACTGCCAATTACTTCAATAGGCTCCATAAAGCCACATATTAAGTTCTCTAAGATTTCAGGTGAAATGGAAATAATTCTGTTTCCTGGAAATTGCTCAGCTCTTAAATACAACATATCTCTTTGTAATGACTTTATAAATGGGAGGGGGTACGGGGTGAACACCTTCAAATCCCTATTCCTTAAAACAAGACAGACATACCGGACACAACACTGAGGCCTGGTGTGCTGGGGCGGGAACTGACCTCCCTGACATCCGTATCATCAGATGTGCTACCCAGTCCAGAACAGCTCTCCAGTTCTTGTAGACGTTCCTCCTGCTTTAGGTCTGGAGCCTCTAAACAGAAAAAAAGAGCTGTGTTACATCTGTGATTCTGTTGGCACACCACAATTTCAGCTTTTGTGACCCAGATAAACAAAGCAACCAGGGCATGAATGAAACCAGTGTAAACGGTTTTCTAAGTCTGGGCTAGTTAATAATGCTAGTTAGATTAAGTGTTAAAGAAGTCAAAGTTGTGATTTTCATCCCAAAGCCAGTTCATTGTGCACAGATGAAAACATGGTTTCTAGATCACAAATGTCACAGAGTATGCTACTGGTTAACATGTGAACTGGACAAGTGAGTATGGAATAGCTTGGTATTAAATCAACCACTTCCTAAAAAGTAACTCCTATGAATATTCAATAGCTGGTGAGCTAATTCTATTGTCCCCAACTGGTCTTCAAACAAGGCTAGCATATCTGAATGCTTTAACATTATAAAACAGGCCAACCTCAGTAGCTCACACCTGTAATCCCAGCAATTTGGGAAGCCAAGGCGGACAGATCACCTGAGGTCAGGAGTTCGAGACCAGCCTGGCCAACATGGTGAAACTCTATTGCTACTAAAAATACAAAAATTAGCTGGGCGTGGCGGCAGTTGCTATAATTTCAGCTACTTGGGAGGCTGAGGCAAGAGAATCACTTAAGCCCAGGAGGCAAGGCTGCAGTGAGCCGAAATCACACTACTGCACTCCAGCCTGAGCGACAAGAGTGAGACTCCATCTAAAAAAAAAAATTAAAAAAAAAAATTATAAAACACCTATTAGGATCACTTAATAATTTTTTAACCAGCCGGGCACAGTGGTTCACACCTGTAATCCCAGCAGTTCGGGAGGTTGAGACAGGCGGATCACGAGGTCAAGAGATCGAGACCATCCTGGCAAACACAGTAAAACTCTGTCTCTACTAAAAATATAAAAGTTATCCAGGTGTGGTGGCGGGTGCCTGTAGTCCCAGCTACTCAGGAGGCTGAGGCAGGAGAATTGCCTGAACCCAGGAGGCGGAGGTTGCCGTGAGCTGAGATTGCGCCATTGCACTCCAGCCTGGGTAACAAGAGCGAAACTCCGTCTCAAAATAATAACAATAGTAATTTGAACCAAGTAAATCAACAGAATGTAATGCAGATACATATAATTCCTTATATTTGCATTCTGGTAGTTGACATTTAGTTGAAGGCAAAGATGTGTCTTCATAATCAGTAAAAAAATACCATGCATATACAAAGCACAAAACACTTTATATGCATTTATAATATCTTCTCAATTTCAATGTATTTCAAAAACACATTAAACATGTTTTAGAGGGTCAAGTTCTCCCCATGATAAATCTAAATGTGTTTACTAGGCAAGCACTCGGTTTGAACTGTGTTGCTACTCTTATCCTGTCACGAGTTTGTGGCAGATACTGAACTCAATGACTCACATGGAACTCTGATAAGTTACAGAAAATTGCTTTCAAAATAACTGAAAGCACCTGCCATCATAGTCTACGCTATCTAACAGAGCATTTTCCCTTAATTAACAGAAAATACCCTCAACTTAATTTTCCGTTTGACATTCATAGCAATGTGATTACCTCACCTTTGTAAAATGTGTATTTGGCAGGCATGGTGGCTCACACCTGTAATTCTAGCACTTTGGGAGGCCAAGGTGGGTGGATCACCTGAAGTCAGGAGTTAGAGACTAGCCTGGCCAACATGGTGAAACCCGTCTCTGCTAAAAATACAAAAATTTAGCCGGCATGGTGGTACACATCTGTAATCCTAGCTACTTGGGAGGCTGATGCGAGAAGATCACTGAACTCAGGAGGCAGAGGTTGCAGTAAGTCAAGATCACGCTGCTGCACACTCCAGCCTGGGTGACAGAGGGAGACTCTGTCTTCATTAAAACAAACAAACAAAATGTACATTTGACAAAATATACATAATACAGAAGCTGGGATACCTTGCATTTAATTAAAACTACTGTGTAAATGCAAAAGCAAACAATGATAGCATACTAACCCGAGTCACTTGGCAATACCTCCACACTCCAAGCTTCACTTGTTGTCTCTGATATGGTAGAACCAGTGCAAGGGTCAAGAAGCACTGACCCTGAACCTGGCAGGCACAGCAAACTGCCTAACATGTTCTCTGCTGCTGCACCTGTATAAACGGTGGGAAGCAAAGGGTTAACAAAGATCCTGGTGGAAAGTGCAGTGACAGTGGAGAAAAGCTAAACTAAGCTAACAAAATCTCTGGCCAGGCGCAGTGGCTCACACCTGTAATTCCAGCACTTTGAGAGGCTAAGGCAGGCAGATCACAGTTCAAGACCAGCCTGGCCAATAGGGCAAAACCCCATTCTGCTAAAAATACAAGAATTAGCCAGGTGTGGTGGCGGGTGCCTGCAGTCCCAGCTACTTGAAAAGCTGAGGCACAAGAACCCAGGAGGCAGAGACCGCAGGGAGGTGGAGACTGCAGTGAGCCTAGATGATGCCATTGCCCTCCAGTCTGGGCAATGGTAGTGAGACCCTGCCTCAAAAATAAAAATGGCCATGTCATTTTGGAACTTTGTCTCAAAAACAAAACAAAACAAAACTCCACTCTACCCACCAGTAAAAATACAAAGTTCCGCCAAGCATGTTGGTTCACACCTGTAATCCCAACACTTTGGGAGGCTAAGGCAGGCAGATCACCTGAGGTCGGGATTTCAAGACCAGACTGACCAAGCAAAAACCCCGTCTCTACTAAAACTACAAAATTAGCTGGGAGTGGTGGCACAAGCATGTAGTCCCAGCACTCGAAGGATGAGGCAGGAGAATCACTTGAACCCAGGAGGTGGAGGTTGCAGTGAGCCGAGATTGTGCCATTTATACTCCAGCCTAAGCAGTAAGAGAAAAACTCCATCTCAAAAATAATAAAAAAAATAAAGTTCCCAGTTTGGAACCTTTTCACCGGTCTCCTGCAGTTTACCTCTGACTCTCCAGAGAGACAACACATCATTAAGTGAAGTAATTTCAACTAGCTTTAGCTTTTATTTTTCAGCAAATTTTATAGGGGTCCTTAATATTGTTCTAAAATTTAGAGCCCTACAGGGATTAAAAACATTCAGAGAGATTTAACCACAGAATACTATACTGGCAAAACATATTTTCTTCCAGCACATTAGTCACTATTCAGGGCAATAAAATATATTCATAGGAAAATACACATCTACATAGCAACCTCTCAACTGCAAATACAGCTTATAGCACAAATACAGCTAACTGCCAAGAACAATACTACCATGGCATCTGGAACAAAGTAATGCAAAACCAATTAAAAAATCTATTTACACTACTTAGAAATACAAATCGAAAGTATTAAACATTATTACACATCTGTGTTAAAAATACTCAAGTTCAAAAGGCTTCACTACTTTGGATTAAACCTAATAAAAGAATAATTCTATTTCAGGACATGAAAAAAATTGGAAAAAAGTTAATAATAAAAATTAACTTTTAAAGATATATCATAAAATAATTATAAATAAAATAATGTCTGCAACCTGCCTAAACATAAGGAGGGGAGAGAATAGGGTAGTGGTTAGGAGAACAGAACAAAGCGGGCCATGTGTGTCTAACTGCTGAAGCTAAGTGATGGGTACACTGGGTTCCTCTTTTGTATTTGTTTAAAATGTTCCATGATTTAGATCAGGCGCAATGGCTCACGCCTGTAATCCCACAACTTCAGGAGGCCGAGGTGGGTGGATCACCTGAGGCCAGGAGTTCGAGACCAGCCTGGCCAATATGGTGAAACCCCATCTCTACTAGAAATACAAAAATTAGCTGGGTGTGGTGGTGGGTACCAGTAGCCCCAGCTACTTGGGAGGCTGAGGCAGGAGACCTGCTTGAACCCAGGAGGCAGAGGTTGCAGTGAGCCGAGATCACACCACTGCACTCCAGCCTGGGTGACAGAGTAAGACTCTGTCTCAAATTAAAATAAAAAACCTGTTGGGTACTATGCTCACTACCTGGGTAGAAAAATCATTTGTGTACCAAACCCCAGCAACATACAAGTTGCTGTAACAATTTCCCATGTAACAAATCTGCACATGTACCCGCTGAACCTAAAATAAAAGTTGAAGAAAAATAAATATATAAATTAAATTTTCCATGATTTAAAAACAAAATGAAGATGAGGGTTACAAGACTATATATCTTTCAGAACTCATAAAACAGTATCCAAAAGACTGAATTTTAGTGTATGTACATAACACCTCAATAAATTTCACATTTAAAAAAAAAGAAGAAGGCAGGAGGATCGCTTGAGCTCAGTAGTTTGAGACCAGCCTGGGCAACAAAGAGAGATTCTGTCTCTATTTAAAAAATTAATCAAAATTTAAAAGAAGGAAAAAAAAAAAAAAAAACCCTGGTTACCCTTTGGAATTTAATTAACCTTCCAGAAGCAAATTCATTTTTAAAGAGAACATCAGTATCATATTGTTGTGAAAGATTTTATGGGTATAATCTGTGAGAATTTCCATCTTAAGATAAGGTGTTTAGTCTTAAAAGAAGAATATACTAATCAGAGACAGACTAAGAACTTATACTATGCCCTGCAAACAACACTTGACCAGAATCTAATCCACAACACTGGTTTTTCTCTCTTTTTTTTTTTGGCAGTGGGGAGGAGGATGGGCAAGGGATGGGATTAAATGTAGAAAGAAAAAGCACTACTTAGATTTAAGCAAATAAAAAAGTACACAAATGTCTTGTTCCATACAGTTATCACAGTTTCCCAGATGGTGCTAACACATACACACATTATGTTAACCAGGGCACTGGTACTTCCTCTCATGAAAGGTCAGTGGATTTGAATAACCAAACTGTGATCTTTCAGAGACATTAAATGGCAGTTACCTGCAATTTCTTGCAAACGATCTTCATCAATATTAGGGTCAAAGTCACTTCCCAAGACGTCTGTACTCCAGGTCTCACTCACTGTTTCTGATATGTCCCTATCATCTGTTAATCCCATCATGTCACGAATTTCAAACTTTCTTAGTTTATCATCAAGGTTATCTTGTGTTGTAGCTAACAAAAACAAAATTAAGCACTTTAAAAATAGTAGCACAGCAATGACTTTTTAATCAACTTTAAAGAATTTTATCTTTGAACTTCAAGTTACATATACATATTTTTAATTATTTTAATTTTTTTTGTTCTGTCATCCAGGTTGGAATGCAGTGGCAATCACGGCTCACTGCAGCCTCCACCTCCCAGACGCAAGTGATTCTTCTACCTCAACCTCCCTAGTAGCTGGAACTATAGGCACGTGCCACCATGCCTGGCTAATTATTTTTTGTCTTTTTCATGGAGAAAGGGTTTCGCCATGTTGCCCAGTCTGGTCTTGAACTCCTGGACTCAACTGATTCACCAGCATTGGTCTCCCAAAATGCTGGGATTACATGCATGAGCCACCACACCTGGCCCCCACATAATCTATCATTACTAAGCATGTGATGCTTAGACCTAACTAGACCTAACTAGACCTAGACCTAACTAGACCAGTCAGCTCGCTACCAAATAACTGACTACCAGCTAAGATAAGCAGAGCTCCCTACCCAATCACAGGTGAAAGTACACGCATGAGTGAACTCAGTCCAAATCAGAAGGACCAACGAGTTGACCCATAGACTTGAGGGCAAAAATAAATGTTTTGGGGTGGTATGCTATATAGCATTGTAGTGGCAATAATTAACTGATAAAACCACACTAAATATGTTTTTTTCACTTGACTTGGATAGCTCCCTTCTGCATTTAAGAGTTCTGTTCACCTCCCTAGACCAATTTCCCTCAATTGAGTTCTTTTTTTTTTTGAGACAGTGTAACTCTGGAGCTCAGGCTGGAGTGCAGTGGTAAGATCATGGATCACTGTAGCTTCAACCTCCCTGAGTAGCTGCAACTATAGACACACACCACCACCCTGGGTTTTTTGTTTGTTTGTTTTTGTAGAGACTGGGTCTCCCTATGTTGCCCAAGCTGGTCTTCAACTACTGGGCTCAGGCAATCCTCAGTCTCCCAAAGTGCTGGGACTATCAATTCACTTCTTAATCCAGCATTTCACAAAACATAGACTGCCAACCACCTACCTCAGAATCTCCCAGAAAGCATGTTAAAGAGATGATATTTGTTCAACTTCTTTCATAAGCTCATATGAAAGTTCCTCCACTTATGCAAAGGCCTCCAGTGGATGCCTGAAATTGTGGATAGTACCAAACCCTATATATTCCATGCTTTTTTGATTTGATAAGCAGTGACTAATAGGCAGGTAGTATATATATGGATATGCTGAACTAAAAAATGATTAATGTCAAGGATGAGATAGAGTAAGATTGTGCGAGATTTCATCACATTACTCAGAATGGCACACAATTTTAAATTTATGAATTATTTCTGGAATTTTCCATTTAATATTTTTGCACCAAGGTTGCCTGTGGGTAACTGAAACCACAGAAGGTGAAACCATGGATAAGAAGGTACTACTTTATTATTTGAGTTTTCTCTGTTATTTGCAACAAACTTAATCCTAACTGATACACTGATAAACCAATCCAGTAAAATACAGCATTACTTTTTCCAAGCCACACACATTCCAATGATAATACTCTTTTTCTTTCTAAAACTTGACTGAACCAGAATTTCTAGAAGTACGACTTAGGAAACAAAATTTTTAAAAAGCTAACCAGGTAATTCTTATGCATGCTAAAGCATAAAAATCACTGTCTCAAATCTAGTTGAGGGCGTAATCTTTTTTTTTTTTTTTTTTTTTTGAGACGGAGTCTTCCTCTGTCAACCAGGCTAGAGTGCAGTAGAACCATCTGGCTCACTATAACCTCTGCCTCCCAGGTTCAAGTGATTCTCCTGCCTTAGTCTCCCAAGTAGCTGGGATTACAGGCACCCGCCACCACATCCAGCTAATTTTTGTATTTTTAGTAAAGACAGGGTTTTCACTATCATGGCCAGACTGGTCTCGGGCTCCTGACCTCCGAATCCCAAAGTGCTGGGATTACAGGCTTGAGCAACCGCACCCAGTCCATCTTTTCTTTTTTAGACAGAGTCTTGCTCGGTCACCCAGGCTGGAATGGAGTGACTCAATCTCAGCTCAATGCAACCCCCTGCCTCCTGGGTTCAAGCAATTCTCATGCCTCGGCCTCCCGAGTAGCTGGGATTACAGGCACCAGCCACCTCGCTTGGCTAATTTTTTTATTTTTAGTAGAGACAGGTTTCACCATGTTGGCCAGTATGCTCTTGAATTCCTGACCTCACCTGCCTGCCTCTGCCTCCCAAAGTACTGGAATTACAGGCATGAGCTATTACACCTGGCTGAGGGCATCAACTTAAATAAACAAATCCAAAAAAGTTTTTCAACTTAATCTTCCTAAGGCATCTTACTTCCTCATCCTCACTGAATCAAAAGCCTTCAGTGACTTCCAGCTTGCTACTAAAATACTGACATCCTTCTTTCCACAACAGAAATTCACCTACTCTTTAATCTCTACCTCACCCTATTTCCCTAACTGATACCTGAATAAGTACTATGGTTTCTCACCTCTTTGACTTGCTTATATTTGTCATTCACCTAGAATGACCTATCTCCAAATTCTGCCCAGGCAATGCCAGCCAGCCATTAAGGCTAGTATTCTCTTCCAGTAAGCTTTCCCTATACTTTCAACCATATGTATCTCTCACTCAGAACTGCCAAAACACATTTATGATACCTTTAATCAATTGTGTATTATTCTTTCCCGATTCTAAGTTCCTTGAGCCTTGAGTATTTACTTCGTATCTCCAAAAGATTACAGAATTAAAATATCAAATATTACAGAATTTAAAGTAATGTATATTAATTATTCAATGTAACTTAGGCCTAAACAATCTACTTACCAACTAAATACATTTTGAAAAACTGAAAGAATGATGAATAAATGCAAGTTTAATGGTGACTATATAATCTCTTACTGAACAAAGTCAACAATGTAAACACACTGCTCATCCTGCAATCAGATAAATTCTTTGCTACTTAAGCAATTGTGTTCAACTTCACTTTACCTTGCTCATGCTCTAACAGTTGTAGAGCTTCAACTCCATTACTCCCGGAAGGTCCTGCTCCAAGTTCTGACACAGACTCTCCTTCTAGGTCTAGGGAGGACACTGAATTGGAGCGATTTGAAGGACCTAGAGAAATGTTTATACTGTGAGCAATCTTTATAAAACAGTCATGAGCCACCATACAATTTTTCATGCCTTAAAGACTAAAAACTGACTAAAGTGTTTTTAATGCTGCCTTTATACCTTAAAAAAACACATGCCCTTTGAGACAGAAATTCTGCTTCTAGGAATTTATCCTAAGGTGCTAATAAAAAATTAATCTGCTAGGCACAGTGGCTGACACCTTGTAATCTCAGCACTTTAGGAAGCCAAGGTGCATTGATCACCTGAGGACAGGAGTTGGAGACCAAGCTGACCAACATGGTGAAACCTCATCTCTACTAAAAATACAAGAATTAGCCGGGCTTGGTGGTGCATGCCTGTAATCTCATCTACTCAGGAGACTGAGGCAAGAGAATCACATGAACTGGGGAGGCCGAGGTTGCAATGAGCCAAGATCGCACCATTGCACTGGCATGATCTCAGCTTGGGCAATAAAAGTGAGATTCCGTCTCAAAAAACAAATTAATCTAAGGTTGCTTGTTGCAGAGCTTCTTTTTTTTTTTTTGAGATAGAGTCTCACTCTGTCACCCAGGCTGGAGTGTAGTGGCTCGATCCCAACCCACCGCAACCTCCGCCTCCTAGGTTCAAACAATTCTCCTGCCTCAGCCTCCTGAGTAGCTGGGATTATAGGTGTGTACCGTGACCACGCCCAACTAACTTTTGTATTTTCAGTACAGACAAGGTTTCACCATGTTGGTCAGGCTGGTCTCAAATTCCTGACCTCATGATCCACCTTCCTCGGACTCCCAAAGTGCTGGGATTACAGGTGTGAGCCCACTTTTTTTCTTTTTTTTTTTTTAAGACAAAGTCTTGCTCTGTTACCCAGGTTGGAGTGCAGTGGCACGATCTTGGCTCACTGCAACCTCCGCCTCCCGGATTCAAGCAGTTCTGCTTCAGCCTCTCCAGTACCTGGGACTACAGATACACGCTGCCACACCCAGCTAATGTTTTGTATTTTTTTTTTTTTTTTTTTGAGACGGAGTTTCGCTCTTGTTACCCAGGCTGGAGTGCAATGGCGCGATCTCAGCTCACCGCAACCTCTGCCTCCTGGGTTCAGGCAATTCTCCTGCCTCAGCCTCCTGAGTAGCTGGGATTACAGGCACGCACCACCACGCCCAGCTAGTTTTTTGTATTTTTTTTAGTAGAGACGGAGTTTCACCATGTTCACCAGGATGGTCTTGATCTCTCGACCTCGTGATCCACCTGCCTCGGCCTCCCAAAGTGCTGGGATTACAGGCTTGAGCCACTGCGCCCGGCCGTTTTGTATTTTAATACGAACAGGGTTTCACCGTGTTGCCCAGGCTGGTCTCAAACTCCTCAGCTCAGGTAATCTGCTTGCCTCTGCCTCTCAAAGTGCTGGGATTACAGGCACAACCCACCATGCCCAGCCCAAAGCTTCTATGTCTGAAAAGTGGAAGCAATCTACAGATTTAATCATAGAAGAAAGTTGAAAAAACTGATATGCCTATGTGAGTTAAGGAAAACAGCCATGAAAACCACGTTATTTAAGAATGTTAGGCTGGGTGCCGTGGCTCTCGCCTGTAATCCCAGCACTTTGGGAGGCCAAGAAGGGTGGAGCACCTGAGGTCAGGGGTTCACGACCAGCCTGAACAACATGGTGAAACCTCACCTCTACTAAAAATAAAAAATAAAAAATAAAAAATAAATAGCATGGTGGCAGAGGTCTGTAATCACAGCTACTTGGGAAGCTGAAGCAGGAGAATCGCTTGAACCCAGCAGGCAGAGGTTGCATTGGGCGGAGATCATGCCACTGCACTCCAGCCTGGGTGACAGAGCAAGACTCTGTCTCAAAAAAAAAATAGAATATTAAATTACAAAGGGAAATGTTAACGTCAGTTTAATAATAGTTGAAAAGTTTACAAAATAGAAATCTGATTTTGCTACAATCTAAAATGTCAACTGCTATTAAAAAAAACTGAGATTGTAGGTGATTCTACTTCTCTATTTTCTAGAACATATATTACATGTGTTATTTTTGAAAAGTTAGATTAAAACATGAAGTTATTATATGTTTCTTTTTAAATGTCAGTAAATTTGAACTATATTTTCTTGACCAAAAAAAATTGGTCCTAGTAAGCAAATGACATATTCTCACTTCACAATCTTGGCTTTGAATTTTCTTTTTAATATCTATTTCCATTGTATCCTGCTTCATAAAGGTGTGTGAGTGTGAGTAGCAGAATACAGAACATTTAAGACTATATGAAACATCATGAATTACTAGTAAGTCAATTTTTTCCCGTTTAGACATGCATCATGTCCTTCTAAAGGAGCTCTATAAGCTTTGGTATATGTTAACACTGGAGAAACAAAACTTGCTATTATTCCATTTAAGTCTGAATAAAGACTTATATCTTCTCCATTTTATATGACCAAAGGCATCTTGCAATCTTAATTTTATTCAGGAAACAATCTTTACAGCCAACTGTTCAAGCTCATTAGAGGAAATCTTCATTAGTCTCCTCCGTGAGAGGCACAGATGGTACAATTATAATTTATAAGGCTCCTTTAAAAAACACAAAACAAAATATTACTTGAATCACACAATTCCTTGAATGAAGTAACCCTTCACCTTCAGATATTCCTTCCAGATTATCACTGCAGAGGGAAAAGCGCAAGGTTTTATCAGGTTTACCATGGAGTTTGTTTTCATCAACAGGGACATCTCCTTGTCCTCCATCTGAAAGCTGCATGTTTAGGACCTAAAAAATAAAATGTAAATTTTGGTTTACCAACAGAAAGACTACTGATAAGGAAACAAACCACAGCAAATGCATATTTAACTCCTTAATCTTAAATTACCAATTTTTAACTACAAACCCATTTAGAAGGTCTGTCAAGCTTTTAAATATCTGTGGAATAAGCCGGGCGCGGTGGCTCAAGCCTGTAATCCCAGCACTTTGGGAGGCTGAGGCGGGTGGATCACGAGGTCAAGAGATCAAGGCCATCCTGGTCAACATGGTGAAACCCCATCTCTACTAAAGATACAAAAAAATTAGCTGAGCATGGTGGCACATGCCTGTAATCCCAGTTACTCAGGAGGCTTAGGCAGGAGAATTGCTTGAACCCAGGAGGCGGAGGTTGCGGTGAGCCGAGATCGCGCCATTGCACTCCAGCCTGGGTAACAAGAGCGAAACTCCGTCTCAAAAAAATATATATATATATATCTGTGGAATAAAAGTGTATCAATTAAAGCAACTGAAGCTATGCCTTTCCGTTACCCTACTAGTGTCAAGACTGAACAGGCAACCACAAACAAGATGAGTAGTGATGAGAATTAAACAAATCAGAGGTCTTTAGTGTTAGCGCGCCGGTCCTTCTAATTCTGTCACGTGTCAACTATGTAACCTTGGATAGACAAGTTATTTAAATTCTCTAAGCCTCAGTTTCTTCATCTATAAAACGGTGATAGTAACAGTATATATGCCATGTAATTGCTGAAAATTAAGTAAAAAGATGTACATAAAACAGTTGGCATGTGACAAATCTGCAAAATTAAAATAAATAAAAGTAAATAAACATGCGATATTTAAATAAAGTAAATAAACAAAAGTAAATAAATTCAACTAAAAGGAAAAATGTAATCATGTTATTTTGTAGCCACCGAAGATTTAATCTATCTAGTTTGAACGCCCACTTAATCACAACATACAGGGCCACAAAAGTCCATACCGGAAACTGAAGTATGACTTCACAATCCTCTCCAGCTTAGATATCACGGCCTTTTTATACTGCTTTTCTATTTACCAGATGATTTCCAAATAACATAATTACTTCTCACTACTCCCTACAAGCCTAGTACAACTCAGGTCTGTATGTATAGCTCCACCTTAATGAAGAACCGAGTACTTTGTTGAGAGTCACATAGCGTGTTTTAGGCACACCTGAGACTGGAACTCAGAGGCCGTGGCTCCCTTGGCTGTTGCTAAAATATGAAGGAAGAATAGCGCCCTCACTTACCAAAAAAAAAAAAGTTCTCACCACATAAAATGAAAAATATGTGAGGTAATACATGTTATTTAGCTTTTCCACAATGTATATCAAAATACGTATACTAGCCGGGCGCGGTGGCTCAAGCCTGTAATCCCAGCACTTTGGGAGGCCGAGGCGGATGGATCACAAGGTCGAGAGATCGAGACCAACCTGGTCAACATGGTGAAACCCCGTCTCTACTAAAAATACAAAAAATTAACTGGGCATGGTGGTGCGTGCCTGTAATCCCAGCTACTCAGGAGGCTGAGGCAGGAGAATTGCCTGAACCCAGGAGGCGGAGGTTGCGGTGAGCCGAGATCGTGCCATTGCACTCCAGCCTGGGTGACAAGAGCAAAACTCCGTCTCAAAAAAAAAAAAAAAAAAACGTATACTATAAATAGACACAATTTTTGTCAGCTAAAACATAAATGATTTTTAAAAAGAAAAAATACACACTCTTGGTTGTTGTTTTGGCTCTGAGTAAATTAAAGGTTTTTAAATGGTTTTATACATTTACACATGATGCCTTTGAATACAGATTTTTTTGGCTGGGCATGGTGGACACACCTGCACACCTGCAATCCCAGCACTTTGGGAAGCCTAGTCAGGCAGATCATCTGTGGTCACGTGACCAACATGGGGCCTGACCAACAAGGAACCCCATCTCTACTAAAAATACAAAAATTAGCCAGGCATGGTGGCGTGTGCCTACAATCCCAGGTACTTGGGAAGCTGAGGCAGGAGAATCACCTGAACCCTAGAGGCGGAGGTTGCAATGAGCTGAGATTGCAGCACCACACTCTAGCCTGGGGAAAGTGACTTCATCCCCCACCCGCAAAAAAAAAGACTTTTTTTTTTTTCTATTTGCTTGAAATTAAATAGACATAAAAGTTTTATTTATTAAAAAAAAAATTTAGGCTGGGCACGGTGGCTCAAGCCTGTAATCCCAGCACTTTGGGAGGCTGAGGCGGGTGGATCACGAGGTCGAGAGATCGAGACCATCCTAGTCAACATGGTGAAACCCCGTCTCTACTAAAAATACAAAAAATTAGCTGGGCATGGTGGCACGTGCCTGTAATCCCAGCTACTCAGGAGGTTGAGGCAGGAGAATTGCTTGAACCCAGGAGGCGGAGGTTGTGGTGAACCGAGATCTCGCCATTGCACTCCAGCCTGGGTAACAAGAGTGAAACTCCGTCTCAAAAAAAAACAAAAACAAACAAACAAAAAAAACTTTTTTCCTGTGAATGGGCCATATTTTTTGTTTGTTTATATGCCTCATAAGTTTTGCTGAAAGCCAGACATTTTAAATATTATAAAGTGACCATTAAAAAGTCAGGAAACAGGCCGGGCGCGGTGGCTCAAGCTTGTAATCCCAGCACTTTGGGAGGCCGAGGCGGGTGGATCACGAGGTCGAGAGATCGAGACCATCCTGGTCAACAAGGTGAAACCCCGTCTCTACTAAAAATACAAAAAATTAGCTGGGCATGGTGGCACGTGCCTATAATCCCAGCTATTCAGGAGGCTGAGGCAGGAGAATTGCCTGAACCCAGGAGGCGGAGGTTGTGGTGAGCCAAGATCGTGCCATTGCACTCCAGCCTGGGTAACAAGAGCGAAACTCCGTCTCAAAAAAAAAAAAAAAGTGAGGAAACAGATGCCAGAAAGGATGTGAAGAAACAGGAACTGTTGGTAGGAGTATAAATTAATTCAACCATTGTGGAGGACAGTGTGGCAATTCCCCAAGGATCTAGAACTAGAAATACCATTTGACTCAGCAATCCTATTACTGGGTATATACCCAAAGGATTATAAATCATTCTTCTATAAAGACACATGCACACGTATGTTTACTGCATCACTATTCACAATAGCAAACATGTGGAACCAACCCAAATGTCCATCAATGATAGACTGGATAAAGAAAATGTGGCACATATACACCAAGGAATACTATGCAGTCACAAAAAAGGGTGCATTCATGTCCTTTGCAGGTACATGGATGAAGCTGGAAACCATCATTCTCAGCAAACTAACACAGAAATGGAAAACCAAGCACCACATGTTCTCACTCATAAGTGGGTGCTGAATAATGAAAATACATGGACACAGGGAGGGGAACATCACACACCAGGGTCTGCTGGTGGGTGGGGAACAAGAGATAGCATTAGGAAAAATACCTAATGCTACACAGATAGCATTTGTCAAAAGTTGTAGATGTCAATGACAGGTTGATGGATGCAGCAAACCACCATGGCACATGTATACCTATGTAACAAACCTGCATGTTTTGCACATGCAACCCAGAACTTAAAGTATAATTTAAAAAATAATAAAATAAATAAATAGATATTATAATGTAGCAATTCTGGAAATCAGATTTTATCTCTTAACCCCCAGAGTTGATTGTTGCTGGTTGTTGTGGTGACTGTTTATTTAATGACCTCTCTAAATTTTCTGTCATGTGTGGCCGCTTAAGTTTCTGTTCTGTTAGCTTAGTGGTCAGCAAGTGATTTGGCAGATTTAGTACCTGGAATAAAATAAAACAAAACATTTCCGGCCGGGCGCAGTGGCTCACGACTGTAATCCCAGCACTTTGGGAGGCCGAGGTGGGTGGATCATGAGGTCAAGAGATCGAGACCATCCTGGTCAACATGGTGAAACCCCGTCTCTACTAAAAATACAAAAAATTAGCTGGGCATGGTGGCACGTGCATGTAATCCCAGCTACTCAGGAGGCTGAGGCAGGAGAATTGCCTGAATCCAGGAGGCAGAGGTTGCGGTGAGCCGAGATCATGCCATTGCACTCCAGCCTGGGTAACGAGAGCGAAACTCCGCCTCAAAAAAAAAAAACATTTCCAAGTCTTTGAAGATTGGTTCTGTGTTGGGGCACTTCAACACTTAGCCAGGCAGTTAGCAGCTGTACTTTACCCTTCACTTCCTGCTTGGGTTCAGCCTGAAGGTTAGTTAGCAGTGACAGCTTGGGTCTTCTAAAGTCTTTCCTGAGCACATGACCAGCCCCAGGCATGTGTACAATCTTCTAGATTCCCCAGAACACGTGGAAGCTTTTCAGAGCCTTTGTGCCCCCAGTATCTCCTTCCCCAGCCTCTTCCTTCATAAGCATTTGGATCTGTCTGCTGCTTGCCCTAACAGTTACCCCTTAATGCAGGCAGAAACAACGAATATATCTGCTTTTCAATACTTTTGACAAATGCCACCTGTGTAGCTGCCTCAGCCCTGGGAAATATCAGAGGCAGGCAAAACAAAGCCAAGCCCTTGAGACAATCTTTGAGGATCTATCAAACAGATCAAAATACACAACCATGATGCTTTCAAAATAAAGTCCACATTCCTCCCTCAAGTACCTCAAGCACACTGCACAGGAACACCAGCTGTTGTCTTCAAAGCAGGTATTGGACTAGGGGTTGAGAATGGTAACAGGGTAGGATCACAGAGCTCTCTTAACAAAATTCAGCAGTTTTTTCTTCATTAAGCATTCCCTTGCTAAAAGTTTTTTATTAGATTCCAGAGTTCTGAATAAGTTGATTCTGACAGTTTTTGGCAGCTTATTTGTATGTGTGTGTAGAGGGATGGAGTTTGGGAGTTTGCTGGTCCTCTTTCCTACGGGGGATTATGTCATAGTCCCAAACACAGCTTTACCAACCACCATCACTTTATCAATCACTAAAATTGGCCTCTTGTTCCTAGACCATTCACAAATTTTCTTGAATAATAAGCAATCACTGTTGAATATAAGATGTCGCTACTTTTTAAGGAGGTCACAATTCTATGAGAAGAGACTCCTCCTATCTTTAGGGAGTCAAGATTTCTTCTTTTCTTTTTATTTCTTTTTTCTGTGTTTTTTGTTGTTGTCTTTGGCGGGGGGGGTTGTTTTGGTTTTGGTTTTTTTTTTGAGACAGAGTTTCACTCTTGTTGCCCAGGCTGGAGTGCAATGGGGCAAGGGGGCGATCTCAGCTCACTGCAACCTCCACCTCCTGGGTTCAAGCAATTCTCCTGTCTCAGCCTCTCAAGCAGCTGAAATTACATGCATGCACCACCACGCCTGGCTAATTTTGTATTTTTAGTAAGGACGGGGTTTTACTATGTTGGTCAGGCTGGTCTCAAACTCCTGACCTCAAGTGATTCACCCACCTCAGCCTCCCAAAGTGCTGGGATTATAGGTGTGAGCCACCATGTCTGGCCTTCTTCTTTTCATGTGCATTTAAGCCAAGTGGTTTTGTTACAAATATCTTAAAAATGATTCCCACACCTTGAAACCAGTTTCTTTCTTTTTTTTTTTTTTAAAGACGGAGTTTCACCGTGTTGGTCAGGCTGGTCTTGAACTCCCGACCTCAGGTGATCTGCCCGCCTTGACCTCCAAAGTGCTTGGATTACAGGCGTGAGCCACCACACCCGGCCTCAAACCCATTTCTTAAAAAAATTTTATTTTCTTAGTTTTCCATTATCCTTCCATTTTTTCCCGACCAGCCAAAAAATACAACATGTATCTTGAGATGTATTTCAACATATTTTTGGCTCTTTAATCAAGGAATACTACTCGTATGCCACTATAAAAAAAACAAACACAAACTGGAAAAGTGACTTGCTACAAGTCACTGGAAAACTCTCTTCAATTTCTATACCACAGTCTCCTGGCTTCATCTCTCTTCTGCTTCTGCTAGAAAAATTCCTTTTGCTTGGACCTATTCACCAACTTCAGTGCCACAGATGTATTAATGTGAAGGGCCTCACAACTGTTCACAGGGAGCTTACCATGTGATGATGTGTCATGGTGGGACCACTGAAGATAACAAAGAATTAAGCATTAAATTCATTGGCCAGGCATGGTGACTCACACCTGTAATCCCAGCACTCTGGGAGGCCGAGGTGAGTGGATTACTTGAGGTCAGGAGTTCAAGACCAGTCTGGCCAACATGGCAAAACCCTGTCTCCACTAAAAATACAAAATTACCCAGGCGTGGTGGTGCATGCCTGTAAGCCTAGCTACTCGGGAGGCTGAGGCAGAAGAATTGCTTGAACCCAGGACGGAGAGGGTACATTGAGCCAAGATCACACCATTGCACTCCAGCCTGGGCAAGAGAGTGAGACTCCACCTCAAAAAAAAAAAAAAAAGAAAAAAAATTACTGCTATGATCTGAATGTCTGTGCTCCCCCAAAATCTGTTATGTCGAAATTCTAACCCCCAAGGTGATGCTATTTGGAGATGGAGCCTTTTGGGAGGTGATTAGATCATGAAGGCAGGCCCCTCACAAATGGGATAAGGGCCCTTATAAAACAGGCCCAAAGACATAGCAAGAATATATCATCTATGAATCAGTAAAAGGATCCTCATGAGACAATGAATCTGCCTTGACTACAGACTTCCTGGCCTCTACAAATATGAGAAATAAATTTCTGCTGTTTATAAGCCACCTGGCCTCTGGTATTTTGTTATAGCAGCCTGTATGGACTAAGAAATGAATACTGATTTATAGAAGCAACTGACCAAGTAACTTCATACCTCGTTTTCTGACATCATCCCTGGAGTAAGCTGAGGACCTGTCCCTAAGGAAATGACCAACACCTCTTCTGGTTGCACCTCCTGGATGGTTTCTTGAGATGATCCTTCATGGTCCACATGTAGGTCCATTAGCATATTGGTGCGGCTTCTGCTTCGAGTTGCTAATAAAAAATTTCAAATAAAATAATTTAGAGAAATAGACAAATGAAGAAAATGGTATGCTAAATATGAAAATAGATTTTCTTTTTTTTTTTTTTTTTTTTTTTTGAGATGGAGTTTCGCTCTTGTTACCCAGGCTGGAGTGCAATGGCGCGATCTCGGCTCACCGCAACCTCCACCTCCTGGGTTCAGGCAATTCTCCTGCCTCAGCCTCCAGAGTAGCTGGGATTACAGGCACGCGCCACCATGCCCAGCTAATTTTTTGCACCTTTAGTAGAGACGGGGTTTCACCATGTTGACCAGGATGGTCTCGATCTCTTGACCTCGTGATCCACCCGCCTCGGCCTCCCAAAGTGCTGGGACTACAGGCTTGAGCCACCGCGCCCGGCGAAAATAGATTTTCTATTAGTGCAGAACATTTGCACATGCACAAAACAATAGTGGTGAAAATACAAATAAGAAAAAACAAAACAAAAAACAAGATCCTTCAAGTTACACTACTAATAAAGATTCTCCTTCAAAACTGATGATCAAGAACAGTGATCCAAGTCCATGTGACAGGAACTGCCACATAGATGACCACGTCTGCAAACAGCAAACATGTCCCAATCAATTTAAGATTTGGAGTGATATTTGTTATCTTTTTAAGATACCTTAACTATTTATCCTATAAAATGATTTAACTGCTACAGATAACTGAACTTCCTCTTTCAGGAGTTTGAGACCAGCCTGGCCAACACGGTGAAACCTCATCTCTACTAAAAATACAAAAAATTAGCCAGGTGTGGTGGCAGACACCTGTAATCCCAACTACCTGGGAGGCTGAGGCAGGAGAATCACTTAATCCAGGAGGTGGAGGTTGCAGTGAGCCAAAATTGCACCCTTGCATTCCAGCCTGGGGGGTTACAGAGTGAGACTCCGTCTCAAAAAAAAAAAAGAAAAGTTTACATTTTATTTCAGAGGGCAATAAAATTCAGTAGAACCAGAATACTAAATAGAAATTATCTTTTGGTGCAAAATAATAAAAAATATAGACATAAAGCAAAAACAACTTGGAGCAGCAAAAGTCAACTTCATGTTGTATAAAAGCTGACCTACTTCAAGACAGAAAGAGGCAGAAATACAAACAATCGTCTTTCTTTACAATACTGATTAATGTTCATTAATCACTTTTAGTCTGAAAATTCAGAGCACACATCAATTTCCAAGTCTAAAATAGGCCTACTCATATCTTTATTTGCTCACCCTATCTTCTACTGAGTTGAAAATTTAAATTAAAGCTCATGAATAGATCTATGAATCTTAAGTAACAAACTCTTATTTTATTTTACTTTTTTTGTTAAGAGACAGGGTTTCACCGTGTTGCCCAGGCTGGTCTCAAACTCTTGAGCTCAGACAATCCATCCACCTTGGCCTCCCAAAGTGCTAGGATTACAGGCGTGAGCCACTGCGCCCAGCAACAAACTCTTAAATTTATAAAAATGCAAGTCATTAAATGTAGCAATTTACATAAAGTAAAGCAATATGCACATGAAACATACTTTTATAAACTATTTCTTAAGTAAAATTATAAAAGAAAAGGAAGAACAGCCTATTACCCACCAAACGGGGTTACTAGTGTAATATGAGCAGTAATATTGGTAGCTGAGGAATCCCAAGCAGTGATGGCTGCTAATTGTTGTGCTGGGTTGCGAAAGCATTAAATAGAAAGAAAATCAACCCTCTGAACAATGGACACACTTTTAAAAATACAAAATAAATACAATAGCCAGGTAACATGACTATACAAAACAATACTGGGCATACATTTGAAATTCACTTTCCATCAGACTCATATTTAATGACACTTTCAGATAATGAGAAATTTTAAAAAGTAATGTATAGCAGTGAACAATGAAAAAATCTCTGATTTACTAAAAATCATTTACTTCATCATGTGAACAGAGTGCACACAGCCCCTAATATTAAAAACCATTAAGTGGCCGAGTGTGGCGGCTCACGCCTGTAATCCCAGCACTTTGGGAGGCCGAAGTGGATGGATCACCTGAGGTCAGGAGTTCAAGACCATTGTGGCCAACATGGCGAAACCCCATCTCTACTAAAAATATAAAAATTAGCCAGGCGTGGTGGCAGGTACCTGTAATCCCAACTACTGGGGAGGCTGAGGCAGGAGAATTGCTTGAACTCGGGAGGCGGAGATTGCAGTGAGCCGAGATTGCATCACTGCACTCCAGCCTGGGCAACAAGAGTGAGACTCCATCTCAAAAAACAAACAAACAAAAAAAAAAAAAACAACTATTAGGTGCAAAACTCCTTTTTTATTTTAATTTTGAAAACTGACATAACGCAATGATGCAGTAAGACAGACTTGAAGAGTATAATGCCACACTCCTGTTGATGATACAATTTCACATTATGTTAAATATAAGGTAGAGGCCGGGTGTAGCGGATCACACCTGTAATCCCAGTGCTCTGAAGGCCGAGGCGGGCAGATCACGAGGTCAGGAGTTCGAGACCATCCTGGCCAACATGGTGAAACCCCATCTCTACCAAATATATAAAAAATTAGCCCGGCGTGGTGGCAGTTGCCTATACTCCCAGCTACTTGGGAGGCTGAGGTAGGAGAATCACTTGAACTCGGGAGGCGGACGTTGCAGCCAGTCAAGGCCATGCCACTGCACTCCAGTCTGAGCAACAGAGCAAGACTTCATCTCAAAAAACACACAAATATAAGGTAGACTTAATTTTAAGAAACTGGCAGTTCTTAACAAATCAGCTCAAGAAGTTTAAAAGTAAAATCCCTCTCTTCAAAATGCATAAATTAAAAAGAACTATGTTCACTTAAGTGTTGCCGAGTTCCTCATTACAATTAGGCAGGCACTAAGATACTCCTGTTCCCCGCCCTAAATGCTTTGGCCCTGTCTTACTTTGTCTAACTCCCACTTACCCTTCAACACAAGTGCAAGTCGGCTTCACCTGCTCCAAGACCTTCTCCTAATACCACCACCATTTGGCTAAGTTAGCTGTCCCCATAACCCTGTACCTATCTCCTCAGAACACTTAGTATGCTGAAAGATACTAGTCTCCTCTTATTCTCCCTAACTAAGCTATCAACAGCCAACTTGACAGTAAGGGCAGGTCCTAATGGTCTTTGCATCCAGTATCTATCACAGTGCTCATGTGCAAGACACATCCACTCTCACGGGACTTTTGTGTGGATTAAATGAAACATTTATAAAGTGCCTACCCAGTGTCTGGGACACGGTATAGGCTCAATTAATTTTTTTGTAGATAGATAGATAACAAATATTAACCAAGCAAATAAAGCTACATTAAATAGAATTCTTAAATAAACAAACTTAAAAAAATAAAATGAAACTTTTGCTTTATTTTATAACATTAAGGTATCTTAGCTCAGCTGATAAAAAGACATTTATGAAAATAATAATAGAAAAATAGTAACTATTATTTTCCACTTTATCGACAGAAACTTATAAAATAATATTGTTTGTTATATTATTTAGAACTTTGTAGAAAGGAGGGGGCTATATAATTTTTTTTTGAAACAGGGTCTCATTCTGTCACCCAGGCTGAAGTGCAGTGGCACGATCATGGTTCACTGCAGCCTCAACCTTCCAGCCTCAACCAATCTCTCTATCTCAGCCTTCCAAGTAGCTGGGACCACAGGCATATGCCACCACACCCAGCTGAGAGGGCTACATAATTTTAAAAATGACTACTTATAGGCCAGGTGTAGTGGCTCACAGCTGTAATTCCAGCACTTTGGGAGGCTGAGGCAAGTGAATCTCCTGAGGTCGGGAGTTCAAGACCTGATCAACATGGAGAAACCCTGTCTCTACTAAAAATACAAAATTAGCCAGGTGTGGTGGGGCATACCTATCATCTCAGCTACTCAGGAGGCTGAGGCAGGAGAATCACTTGAACCCAGGAGGCAGAGGCTGCGGTGAACGGAGATGGTGCCACTGCACTCCATCCTGAGCAACAAGAGTGAAACTGTGTCTCAAGAAAAAAAAAAAAAAAAAAAAAAAAATGGGGCTGGGCATGGTGGCTCATGCCTGTAATCCAATCACTTTGGAGGCCAAAGTGGGTGGATCACCTGAGGTCAGGAGTTCAAAACCAGCCTGACCAACATGGTGAAACCCCATCTTTAAAAAAAAAAAAAAAAAAAAAAAAAGGTAAAAAGAAGAAAAAAAAAATGACTACTTACAACACTTCCAAAATTTTTTCAAGAAAAAACAATAAAATTTAAACAAACTATACTGTGGATAGTATGACTTCAATTAATTATGAAAAGTATGTAGACAAAGCTAAAGCCTACTGGATAAAAATTAACTAATCTGATACGATTTCTAAAAATTGAAATACCATCAGTAAACATGAAGAGAAAGACTTTCTCAACTATTTAAACATATATTCCAAAACACTGAACAATAACAAAGGCTAAGGCAATATTAAATTTAAGGGAAAGCTCTGATATGATAAACTCTCTTTACCTATAGGTAATCGATTCTTTTTATTTGCTGGAGTGGTTGCTGGAGACAGCTGAGGTGTATTGTATGGAGTCATTTCTAAACTGCTGCTTTTTCCTGGCTTGGCCGGGGGTAGGTTTGCCAATAAATTGTCAAGAGCCATTCTATCTTCTCTTAGTTGATCTCCAGACATGACACTCTTCATAAAATTCACCTGGCAAAAGCAAAGAGCATTAGCTAGTGAAATCATTTTTTCAAATACAGTATGTATTTCTCACACAATGTACTCATGTATGTTTCTGCTCACACTTAGCTAAAAGACTTTTGAGAGAACTATTAAACAATGAAGCCATTACCAGAGTAATAAGCTGACTGTAGGTTATATAAACCACAGTTCTGCTCAATCCTTCCAGAAGATTAACGGAAGACAATGGAGGGGTCTCCACAGCACGGCCCCCAATCACAACATCAAGGAAAGCAGCAACACAGCTCTGTTAAAACAGGAAAACAACAGTGAAACATCTCCCCTTTAAAATACTGGAACAAAATTTCTCATTAAGGTGGACAAGCATGAAAAAATTTTAACATCTTAAAAATCCTATTTTTTTGGCCGGGCGCAGTGGCTCACACCTGTAATCCTAGCACTTTGGGAGGCCAAGGTGGGTGGATCACCTGAGGTCAGGAGTTCAAGACCAGCCTGGCCATCATGGTGAAATCCCATCTTAAAAAAAAAAAAAAAATTCCTATTTTTCTAAGATGTTAAACAAATCAATTTTTTTTTCTTTTTTTGAGACAAAGTTTTGTTCTTTGGTCCAAGTTGGAGTAAAACGGCGCCATCTCAGCTCACTACAACCTCCATCCCCCAACACCCCCTTTCCACCCATTAAAGCGATTCTCCTGCCTCAGCCTCCCAAGTAGCTGTGATTATAGGTGTCACCACCATGCCCGGCTAATTTGTGTATTTTTAGTAGAGATGGGGTTTCGCCATGTTGGACAGGCTGGTCTCCAACTCCTGACCTCAGGTGATCCACCTGCCTTGGCCTCCCAAAGTGCTAGAATTATAGGTGTAAGCCACCTCGCCCAGCCTAATTGTTGTATTTTTTGTAGACATGGGGTTTCACCAAGTTGCCCAGACTGGTCTCAAACTTCTGAGCTCAAGTGATCCACCCACCTCAGCTTTCCAAAGTGTGTACAGCACTAGGATTACCAGAATGAGCCACTGCACCCCACCTAAAAAAATTAATCTTTTTTTGTACTGATACTAGACTAAGATCTTGGGGCTGGGTGTGGTGGTGCATGCCTGCAAACCTAGCACTTTGAGAGGGCAAAGGGGGGTGGGTTGCTTGAGCTCAGAAGTTTGCAACCACTTGGGCGACGCGGCAAAACCTTGTCTCTATAAAAAATACAAAAATTAGCCAGGTGTGGTCATGCGCACCTACAGCCCCAGCTACTTGGGAAGCTGAGGTGGGAGGACTGCTTGCACCAGGGAGGTCAAGGCTGCAGGAGCTCAGATGGCATCAGTGCACTGCAGCCTGGGTGACAAAGTAAGACCCTGTCTCAAAAAAAAGGAAATAAAGTAAGATCTTGGAGACAAACATAACACAACACAGACATAACAGTAACACTGTGTTACTATTTCTGAAAGGGGAAGGATGAGGTGGATGGAACTACACAGTATACGTAGGAATTTGCTTGTACACATATGGACCTCTAGTAGGATACACAAAAGCCTGGTAACATCAAGAATCTTTTGGGGGCCAGGCATGGTGGCTCACGCCTCTAATCTCAGCTACTCGGAGGCTGAGGCAGGAGAATTGCTTGAACCTGGGAGGTGGAGGTTACGGTAAGCGAGGTCGCATCACTGTACTCCAGTCTGGGTGACAAGAGTGAACTTCCATGAAAAAATCGAAACTCCATCTCAAAAAAACAAAAACGGCCGGGCGCAGTGGCTCATGCCTGTAATCCCAGCACTTTGGGAGGCTGAGGCAGATGGATCACGAGGTCAAGAGAAAGAGACCATCCTGGTCAACATGGTGAAACCCCGTCTCTACTAAAAATACAAAAAATTAGCTGGGCATGGTGGCACGTACCTGTAATCCCAGCTACCCAGGAGGCTGAGGCAGGAGAATTGCCTGAACCCAGGAGGCGGAGGTTGCAGTGAGCAGAGATTGCGCCATTGCACTCCAGCCTGGGTAACGAGCGAAACTCCATCTCAAAAAAAAAAACAATGAATCTTTTGTGGGGGCAGGGAATGAAGATTAGAGATGAGAGGTGGAAAAGGAATTTTACTGAAATATCCTTGAATTGGGCCGGGTGCAGTGGCTCACGCCTGTAATCCTAGCACCCTGGGAGGCTGAGGCAGTGGATTACAAGGTCAGGAGATCAAGACTATCCTGGCCAACATGGTGAAACCCTATCTCTACTAAAAATACAAAAATGAGCTGGGCATGATGGCAGGCGCCTGTAGTCCTGGCTACTCAGGAGGCTAAGGCAGGAAAATCACTTGAACCCAGGAGGCAGAGGTTTCAGTGAGCTGAGACTGAGCCACTGCACTCCAGCCTGGGCGACACAGCAAGACTCCAGCTTAAAAAAAAAAAAAAAAAAAGCCAGACACAGTACCTCACGCCTGTAATCCCAGGCGGATCACCTGCCTTGGTCAGGAGTTGGAGACCAGCCTGACTAACATGGTAAAACCCTGTCTCCACTAAAAATAAAAAATTAGCCAGGCATGGTGGCACACACCTATAATCCCAGCCACTAGGGAGACTGAGGCAAAAGTATCGCTTGAACTCAGGAGGTTGCAGTGAGCCAAAATCATGCCACTGCACTCCAGCCTGGGTGACAGAGGGAAACTCCATCTCAAAAAAAAAAAAAAAAAAAAAAAAAAAAAAAAGAAAAGAAAAAAAGAAATATCCTTGAATTTTCCTAGGTTGAATGGATACCTACTCAAGGTAAGACTGATTAAAATTTTATTTAACTAAATTAATTGAACAATGTCATAGATATTAACTTATAAACTACACTTAAAATTAAACAATTATCGACTAGGCATGGTGGCTGACATCTGTAATCCTAGGATGCTGGAACACTGAGGCAGTAGGATCGCTTGAGGCCAGGAGTTCAAGACCAGTCTGGGCAACACAGCAAGAGCTCATCTCTACAACAATAAAAACCGGGCACGGCGGTGTGCCCCTGCAGCCCAGCTACTTGGGAGGCTCAGGTGGAAAGATTGCTTCAGCCCGGGAGTTTGAGCCATAATCATACCACTGCACTCCAGCCTGGGCAACACAGTGAGACACTGACTCAAAAATTTTAAACTTACAAAATTATTGCTGATTCATATTTCTATGGATTTCAAAGTTATACAACTATTTTAAAAATTTAAAAGTTGGCCGGGCGCGGTCGCTCAAGCCTGTAATCCCAGCACTTTGGGAGGCCGAGGCGGGTGGATCACGAGGTCAAGAGATCAAGACCATCCTGGTCAACATGGTGAAACCCCGTCTCTACTAAAAATACAAAAAATTAGCTGGGCATGGTGGCGCACGCCTGTAATCCCAGCTACTCAGAGGCAGGAGAATAGCCTGAACCCAGGAGACGGAGGTTGCGGTGAGCCAAGATCACGCCATTACACTCCAGCCTCGGTAACAAGAGTGAAACTCCGTCTCAAAAAAAAAAAAAAAAAAAAAAAAAAAAAAAAAAATTAGAAGTTATACAACTACTGCTGATTCAGTTTCTATGGATTTAATCTAGTGACAATTTTTTAAAAATAAACTTTTTGGCCGGGCGCGGTGGCTCACGCCTGTAATCCCAACACTTTGGGAGGCCGAGGCGGGTGGATCACGAGGTCAAGAGATCGAGACCATCCTGGTCAACACGGTGAAACCCCGTCTCTACTAAAAATACAAAAAATTAGCTGGGCATGGTGGCACGTGCCTGTAATCCCAGCTACTCAGGAGGCTGAGGCAGGAGAATTGCCTGAACCCAGGAGGCGGAGGTTGCAGTGAGCCGACATCGCGCCATTGCACTCCAGCCTGGGTAACAAGAGCGAAACTCTGTCTCAAAAAAATAAATAAATAAATAAATAAATAAAATAAACTTTTCGAAATAAAATTATCTTAATAGTTCTGATTCTCTTTATGTGGCATCTGTGGGAGTTAATCATCTTTAATGACATCTTTTTTTTTGTTTTGTTTTGTTTTGTTTTGTTTTAAGATGGGGTTTCACCGGGCGCGGTGGCTCAAGCCTGTAATCCCAGCACTTTGGGAGGCCGAGGCGGGTGGATCACAAGGTCGAGAGATCGAGACCATCCTGGTCAACATGGTGAAACCCCGTCTCTACTAAAAATACAAAAAAATTAGCTGGGCATGGTGGCACGTGCCTGTAATCCCAGCTACTCAGGAGGCTGAGGCAGGAGAATTGCCTGAGCCCAGGAGGCGGAGGTTGCGGTGAGCCGAGATCGCGCCATTGCACTCCAGCCTGGGTAACAAGAGCGAAACTCCGTCTCAAAAAAAAAAAAAAAAAAAAAAGATGGGGTTTCACCATGATGGCCAGGCTGGTCTTCAACTCCTGACCTCAGGTGATCCACCCACCTTGGCCTCCCAAAGTGCTAGGATTACAGGCATGAGCCACCGCGCCTGGCCAATGACATCTTTTCAATGCTGCTGATCCAATACTGTAACTAATTAAAAGAACATTTAATTCAGACATCACCTAAGGACAAGATTTAATAGAGTTAGTGAGCAGTTAGGCTCACTAATACTTCAGCAGAATTTTCTATAAACCATATTTATTCTTACTTTGTCAAATTTTCCAAGGCTGCTCTTTGTTCGGGGATCTCCCTCTTCAGAGCCAGTCATTGCTAACTGCTGCAAAAGGCGGCCCACCTGCAACCCAAAGCAGTGGTAGGGACACATAAGCTATAGATAGATACTCACAAATTCCTCTTAATGAAAGCAATCATGTCTATTCTTTTCTAAAAATCTGTTTCATAATACTATCCATTCCACCTGACCAGGCATATGATATAGTATCCCCAATAAAATGCATACTTTATATCAGCTTTTACTATTTTTAGATTGAGAGTTATAGAGAGAATATAGAAATTTTTGCTTTAATTTCTCTTTAACACATAAGATATCAACAATGGGGGGGAAAAAAGTACAGGTTGGGTGTGGTGGCTCACACCTGTAATGCCAACACTTTGGGAAACTGAGGTGGGTGGATCACCTGAGGTCAGGAGTTCAAGACCGGCCTGGCCAACATAGCGAAATCCCATCTTTACTAAAAATACAATAATTAGTCAGGCATGGTGGAACAGGCCTGTGGTCCTAGCTACTCGGGAGGCTGAGGCAGGAGAATCACTTGAACCTGGTAGGAAGGGGTTGCAGTGAGCCGAGATCGAGCCACTGCACTCCAGCCTGGGTAACAGAGCGAGACTCCATCTCAAAAAAAAAAGGTACAATACATTTGCTTCTGGTATTTTACTTTTCATGTGTTTAGAGCCTGACTCACTCATAAATTACCTCAAGTTAATATTAACAACATTACCCTAGAGAGTTCACAATGCACTCAAGGTAGAATTTTTTTCCTAGATTTAAAAGCAAATAATTTCTATGGAACACAAGCTGGTTTAGTGAAGTAAATACTAATTCATAGACAAAGTACCTTACTGGCAAAAGTAAGTTGTTACTGTACTCTCTTTAAAGGCTGATGATGAAAGTCATTACAGCATCCTCTTCTTAATATCGGGGACAAGCCCCCTTTTTACTATTTTGAAAATATGTAATTCAATCTCTACTGGAATGACAAAATATAAAACTACAATTATATTACCTACCATAAGAATAAATTTGATGTTTCACGGGCTGTGAGGCACAGTGCCTCACACCCATAATCCCAACACTTTGAGAGGTCAAGGTAGGAGGATTACGAGGCCAGGAGTTCCAGACCAGCCTGGGCAACACACCAAGACCCTGTCTCTATAAAAACATGTTTTAAATGATCCAGGTGTGGTATACACCTACAGTCCCAGCTACTCAGGAGGGTGAGGCAGGAGGGTCACTTGAGCCCAGGAGTTAAAGGTTACAGTGAGCTAAGATGGCACTACTACAGTACAGCCCGGGTAAGAGAGTAAGACTCTGTCTCAAAAAAAAGAAAAAATTAGTTTCATGGATGTTAAGGTGTTGAAAATCTTCTGCTTGCTTCAGCAGCACATATACTAAAATTGGAACTCTACAAGAGATTAACATGGCCCCTGTGCAAGGATGACACACAAATTTGTGAAGAGTTCCATACTATAAATTTTTTAATTTAGAAAATGTTTTTAAAAGTTAAAAATTTTATTTCAGGCATTTCTATATAGTAAATTGGTAAACATCCCAAGGTGATATAACTGATCATAAAAAACAAGAGTTAATCATTTTTTTGGATTAAAAAAAAATTTTTTTTGAGGCAGAGTTTCGCTCTTATTGCCCAGGCTGGAGTGCAATAGTGCAATCTCAGCTCATTGCAACCTCCTCCTCCCAGTTTCAAGCAATTCACCTGCCTCAGCCTCCCGAGTAGCTGGGGTTATAGGCAGGCAGCACCACGCCCAGCTAATTTTGTATTTTTAGTAGAGACAGAGTTTCTCCATGTTAGTCAAGCTGGTCTCAAACTCCTGACCTCAGGAGATCTGCCCGCCTCAGCCTCCCAAAGTGCTGGGATTACAGGTGTGAGCCACCACACTCAGCCAATTTTTTCTTTTTTTTTTTTAATAGACACAGGGCAGGGGGGTCTATGTTGCCAAAGCTGGTTTGGAACTCCTGGCCTCAAACGATCTGCCCACCTTGGACTCCCAAAGGGCTGGGATTACAGGTGACAGCCACTATACCCAGCCTGAGCTAATCATTTTTTAAAAAGCACCCAAAAATAGTCTATTGTGAATAAATCTTCACAGTATATCTGAGGGATATGATTAAAAGAGTTCATGAAGAAATAATAACCTGAGTTCAGTCATTCAGATGATTGGAAAAAAGTGCTAATATAGATCCAAAAATCCTCCTTCTGAAACTCTTAGAAGAGTTTCAGATTTCAGAATTTAGAGATTTTAGAAAGGTAATATAGTGCATATATACAACATATTCAATATATAGATGGCATTCTGTAATTAAATGCATTAACATTTCTGCAACAAAACATGAGTATTCACTAGCACTAAACGGAATAACAATTATAAATATAGCTGGGCCTGGTGGTGGGCGACTGTAATGTCAGCTACTCGGTAAGCTAAGGCAGGAGAATCACTTGAACCCAGGAGGCGGAGGTTGCAGTGAGGCAAGATTTCACCATTGCACTCCAGCCTAGGCAACAAGAGTGAAATTCTGTCTCAAAAAAGAAAAAAAAAAAAAAATAGGCCCAGCATGGTGGCTCAAGCCTGTAATCCCAGCACTCTGGAAGGCTGAGGTGGGCAGATCACAAGGTCAGGAGATCGAGACCATCCTGGCCAACATGGTAAAACCCCATCTCTACCAAAAATACAAAAAATTAACTGAGCGTGGTGGCACACACCTATAGTCCCAGCTAATCAGGAGGCTGAGGCAGGAGAATCGCTTGAACCTACTGCACTCCAGCCTGGTGACAGAGAGAGACTCCATCTCAAAAAAGTAAATAAAAATTTAAATTAAAAAAATTGTGAATAGCCTCATGTTAGTTCAGCACAGGTTTGCTACCAAATGAAGTATAGAAGACACTCAGTTTTTATTCATTTTGAGTTTTGAAATTATAGAACAAGAATGGTGGACTTGTTCTAGAAAAATTTAATCAACTCTATATTCAAGTGTGTGAGGATTCCATTTAAAAACAAATACAAAATGTTTTGTGACTGCAATAATTCTAAATCCCAGTATTATTGCTTTTATTTACTAAGATGCAAATATTTAGGACTGGTTGAGAAAAAGTAGTAAGAATATATCAATTGTCACCGTATTATTTGTTCCCACCCCCACAGCCTAATCAACTGATTTTAAATGCCACATTCATGAAAACAGCAAAAGCATACCTGCATCAGATTAAATCGTGCCACCTCATTAATAGGAGCATCGGAAATTATTCCATACTGTTCTGGATTGACAACTGCAGGACAAATGAAGCAGGCCAGCAGGAGATCAGTACACATTGCCCTGACCTCCCCAACTTCCAGCCTATCTACACAGGAAAGGGTTTTGTACATCTGAGACACGATCCACCTTAAACTATGTGGAAAACAGTATGTGTTCTGTTTGAGATAACCAATAAATTTGTTCACCAAAGCCACTAGTTTGGCTTCATTGGACTCCACCATTTCTTGAACTTTTTGCCTAAATCTATCTGAGCCCTTCTCTCCGAAGAGTTTTTCCTGCTGAGATGGGGAGAACCTTTCAATTAGCTTATTTGGATCTGTTTCCAGGTGATCTTCATCTTCAACAAGCAGTTGCATAATTGGCTCATGTAAAGTGGCTGTGAGGAAAAGTTTGGCAGAAAACAGTCCTTCAGAAAAAAGTTTAAATAAGATGCTGAAGGCACAAGTTCCTCTCCTCAAAAGTCGCCTAGGGTTGTCACTTTCTTTAAGTTCAAATTCAATCAAGTATCGCAAAACCTGAAGGAGGTAGCTTTCATCTTCTTGCATGATGCAATTGCCATACAGGGAGGTAAAAACTGTGTAAATAACACTTTGTGTATTCTCTTGATTAAGTTTCTCTCCAGCAACCAAAGAGGAGGCAATAAGACGAGGATTTTCTCTCAATCGACTCAAGAATTCTCCATAAGCAGTCTCCTGAAATCCCAATTGTTTATACCCATCAACAAATTGTGTATCTTCCAAAATCTTGGCATGTTGGCAACATTCAGCAGGGGAAGCTTCAGCACTAAAAAAATGAGCAAACAAGCAAAATAATAGTATTAATAATAATAACACATACGCTATATCCAAACATGGATATGTGAGTTAATTATAGTCCCAACGAGGTCACTCTGAACTGCTAAAATTTTTTAGATCAACAGCATCTCAATGAGTAAAGGAAGACAAAACTAAAGTACAAAGGACAATTTCCTCATATCAAATCAGAATCAATGAAAAGTATCAGGGCTGAGCACTGTGGCTCAAGCCTGTAATCCCAGCACTTTGGGAGGCCAATGCGGGCAGACAGACCACTTGAGGCCAGGAGGTTGAGACCAGCCAGGACCACATGGCATAACTCCCATCTCTTCTAAAAATACAAAAATTAGCCATGCATGGTGGCAGGCGCCTATAATCCCAGCTACTTAGAAGGCTGAGGCAGGAGAATCGCTTGAACCCAGAAGGCAGAGGTTGCAGTGAGCTGAGACCATTCCACTGCACACCAGCCTGGGCAATAGAGCAAGACGGAAGAAAAAAAAGAAAGAAAGAAAATTATCAGTTTGGACATCCTAACAACTACTGTCAAGAGTTGCACTCTTATGGACTAAATTAAAATTAGCTACAGGCCACAGTGGCTCACGCATGTGATCCCAGCACTCTGGGAGGTCAAGGTAGGAAGATCACTTGAACCCAGGAGTTCGAGACCAGCCTGGAAAACATGATGAAACCTCACCTCTACAAAAAAAAAAAAATACAAAAAAAGAATTGGTAAAATACAACTATATTTAACTGAAAAAAAAAAAAAAAACAAAAAAGTAGCTAGATGTGGTGGCGTGTGCCTGTAGTCCCAGCACTCAGGAGCCTAAGGTGGGAGAATTGCCTGACGTCAGGGGGTTGAGACAGCAGTGACCCAAGCACCACTGCATTCCAGCCTGGGCAACAGAGCCAGATCCTGTCTGGGGAAAAAAAAATCAGCTATAGTTAAACTGCTTATTCACAGACATAAGAAAGTTTATAAATATTGAAGTACTAAAAAATAATAAAAATGGCCAGGCGCTGTGACTCACGCCTGTAATACCAGCACTTTGGGAGGCTGAGGCAAGCAGATCACAAGCTCAGGAGTTTGAGATCAGACTGGTCAATATGGTGAAACCCCAATCTCCACTAAAAATAAAAACATTAGCCAGGTATGGTGGTAGGTGCCTGCAGTCCCAGCTACGCAAGAGGATAAGGCAAGATAATTGTTTGAACCCAAGAGGCAGAGGTTGCACTGAGCCAAGGTCGTCCCACTGCATTCCACCCTGGGCAACAGAGCAAAACTCCATCATTCATTCATTCATTCATTCATTCATTCATAAATAAAAATTTAAAATAATAATAAAAGTAAAAATGAAGTCCATATGGGCATATTGCTCAACCTTTCTCAAAAGCAACATGCCAGTACGTAACGACCTGCAGAATCGCATCCTTTAACCAGGCTTTTTGCTTCTAGAAACAAATCCAAATGAAATAAGCCTAAAAGATGGGGGGGAAAAAACACAATGCCCACAGCAGCACTGTTCTTTTTTTTAAAAAAAAACTTATTTTTATTGAGGTAAAATACAGTAAAGTGCACAAATATCAAGCATTCACCTTAAACAATTTTTACGCATACATGCACCCAGTAATCTCAGATTAAGACAGTGAACATTTTAAATACCCCAGAATGCTTCCACATGTCCTTTCCCAATCAATACCACCCTCTCAAGCCCAACAAGGAAACATTACTCTGGTTTCTGTTATCAAAGATCAGTCCTGCCTCATTTTGAACTTCATACAAATAAAATTATACATAATGTATTCTTTTGAGTCTGGCTTATATTCTCAACAGCACTAATATTCTTAAAGTTATTCTGACTGTTCTTCTGGCCAGGCACAGTGGCTCATGCCTATAAAGCTAGCACTCTGGGAAGCCAAGGAGGGTGGATTGCCTGAGCTCAGGAGTTCGAAACCAGCCTGGGGAGCACGATGAAACCCTGTTTCTACCAAAAATATAAAAAATTGGCCGGGCGCGGTGGCTCAAGCCTGTAATCCCAGCACTTTGGGAGGCCGAGGCGGGTGGATCACAAGGTCGAGAGATCGAGACCAACCTGGTCAACATGGTGAAACCCCGTCTCTACTAAAAATACAAAAAATTAGCTGGGCATGGTGGCGTGTGCCTATAATCCCACCTACTTGGGAGGCTGAGGCAGGAGAATTGCCTGAACCCAGGAGGCGGAGGTTGCAGTGAGCCGAGATCGCGCCATTGCACTCCAGCCTGGGTAACAAGAGCAAAACTCCGTCTCAAAAAAAAAAAAAAAAAAAAAATTAGCTGGGCATGACAGCATGCACCTGTAATCCTGGCTACTCCGGAAGCTGAGACAGGAGAATTGCCTGAACCCAGGGGGTGGAGGTTGCGGTGAGCCAAGATCACACCATCACATTCCAGCCTGGGCAACAGAGCGAGACTCAGCCTCAAAAAAAAAAAATTGTTCCTCTTAGGTGTTAGCACAATAAAATATGTGGTTTCTAAACCTGAAAAATAGCTATATAATATCAAAACAAGAAAACTTATAAATTAAATAACATTAGGAGAAAAGCAGAACAGATAATTTATTCTCTACAACATTAATATTTTATATAGACAAAGACACAAAACCAACTGGTGTGATATAAAATGTCAAGGCTTAAGTTATAATTTTCTATAGCAATGCCTATGTTAATAATCAAACTGTATTTATAATACAAAAACTCACCTTAATATTGATTTAAATTATCTTAAACCATGTACTTTGTTGGAAACAGATTCATTTGTTTACAGTTAATTTATTTACAGAATCATAGTGGTTCATAGAATTTAAAACCTGAAAATCATTTATTTACCTGGTTATGATAAGCCGATCCAAATTGATTCTCTGTTGCTTCGCAATCCAAGCCGTACGATACAACTTTTCAGCTGTCTTAAGTACATCTGCATTGAGCCTCTGAATGAGCTGTTTCTCTGAGTTTACATATAAGCGCTCCTGCTTGAGGTGATGAGCCAGAGTATGAATATCTAGCTTCACCATCTTCAATGTGGGAAAGGCTCAAAGGCTGATCACTAAGAGTAAAAAGACAAATATTTAAAGTTTATGTCACCTAAGTTATTTTCTAAACTCAAAACGGATAGGAGAACAGATTAAGAATTAGGTTATATTTGGCCAGGCATGGTGGCTCATGCCTGTAATTCCAACACTTTGGGAGGCCCAAGGCGGGCAGATCACAAGGTCAAGAGATCAAGACCATCCTGGCCAACATGGGGAAACTTCATCTCTACTAAAATTTAAAAAATTAGTGGGGCATGGTGGCGCGAGCCTACAGCTCCAGCTACTCAGGAGGCTGAGATGAGAATCGCTTGAACCTAGGAGGCAGAGGTTGCAGTGAGCCGAGATCGCACCACTGCACTCCAGCCTCGTAAGAAAACAAAACTGGAGACTCTGTCTCAAAAATAATAATGGTAATAATAATAACAATAATCAGGTTATGTTTGATACCACTTTAACTCTAATTTTCAAATAATCTGTATGTTTTTATTACAAAAGTATTATAGGTTTGGTATAGAAAAATTGGCAAATACAGGTAAGCAAAAAGAAAACAAAGTTTACTGCTAAGGCCACTGCTCAGAGATAGTTGTTGTAAATCCTGTGTATATCCTCAAATCAAATGCCTGTTAACCCCAGAGTTACCCTTCACCGTGCTCTTTCAAATCGTAATCAAAATATCCTGCCGATTCTATCTTCAAAATATATCTAAAATCTGACTACTTATTCCCACCTCCATTGCTAATCACATCAATTCTCATTAGGTCTATAACCACCACATCCTAAGTGATCTCCCTGCTTCCTTTCTGGTACTTCTAGAATCTGTTCTCTACATAGCCTAGTGAATTAAACTTAAGTCAGATCACTTTATTCCCCTACTAGAAACCATCCAAAGGCTTTACTTCATGATAGAATGAAATCTGAAGGTACTACATGATCTACCCCTGGCTACTTCTCCAATTTCCTCTCCTACAATCCTACCCTAGTTCACACAGCTCCAGACACATCTGCCTTCCCGCTGTCCCTTGAACAGGCCAAGCATGTCCCTCTCTCAAAGTGTACACATTTGCTGACCTCTCTGTCCAGAAGGTTATTCTTCCAGATAGCTACAAGGCTAGTGCGTTCATTCCATTCAGATTTCTCGACGCAAATGTCTATTTAGAAAGGTCTTCTCAGGCTGGGCACGGTGGCTCAAGCCTGTAATCCCAGTGCTTTGGGAGGCTGAGGCGGGTGGATCACGAGGTCAAGAGATCGAGACCATCCTGGTCAACATGGTGAAACCCCGTCTCTACTAAAAATACAAAAAATTAGCTGGGCATGGTGGCGTGTGCCTGTAATCCCAGCTACTCAGGAGGCTGAGGCAGAAGAATTGCCTGAACCCAGGAGGCAGAGGTTGCAGTGAGCCGAGATCACGCCATTGCACTCCAGCCTGGGTAACAAGAGTGAAAATCTGTCTCAAAAAAAAAAAGAAAGGTCTTCTCAGACAATTCCTTCTAAAATAGAAAATATAACTTCCTAATGCCTCTTCTGGCCTTTTAAAAAAGCAATGCCCCTATCTAGCATTATATTACAGATATCTACCTGCATGTTAATCATGCTTATTATGAGGCTTCCCCACCAAAAAGTAAATGCCAACAGGGTCAAGCCTTTTTTGTTTTATTCACTCACAGCTGTAATTTCAGGGACTAAGAGAAGACCTGGTTCATAGGAAGAGTTGAATAAATATTTGCCAAAGGGATAAATGAAATCTCACTACTCTTGTTTATCTAGTAGCTAAACAAACTGATACAAATATCACACATATTTTAAAACATTATTATTTAAGCTATGCCCTTGAACCTAGAATTTGTGCCAAATCACAAATGTGAAATCAACAATAGAAATACCTGTAGCACAGATAACAGAACATAATACTGTGTGTCCAGGAAGCAGACAATCATCAAGTTAGCAAAAAATTTCTTGGTCAGGTATGGTGGCTCATGCCTGTAATCCCAGCATTCTGTGAGTTCAAGGCAGGTGGCTCATTTGAGGTAAAGAGTTCGAGACCAGCCTGGCCAACATGGTGATACCCTGTTTCTACTAAAAATACAAAAATTCAGCTAGGTACGATGGCTCACGCCTGTAATCCTAGCACTTTGGGAAGCCAAGGCAGGCGGATCACGAGGTCAGGGTTCAAGACCAGACTGACCAACATGGTGAAATCCTGTCTCTACTAAAAAATACAAAAATTAGCTGGGCATGATAGCTCATGCCTGTAATCCCAGCTACTTAGGAGGCTGAGGTAGGAGAATTGCTTGAACCAGGACCCGGGAGGTGGAGGTTGCAATGAGCCGAGATTGTGCCACTGGACTCCAGCCTAGCCTATAGAGCAAGACTAGATCTATTTAAAAAAAAAAAAAAAAGGCCGGGCGCGGTGGCTCAAGCCTGTAATCCCAGCGCTTTGGGAGGCCGAGGTGGGTGGATCACGAGGTCAAGAGATCGAGACCATCCTGGTCAACATGGTGAAACCCCGTCTCTACTAATGGTGCAAAAAATTAGCTGAGCATGGTGGCGCGTGCCTGTAATCCCAGCTACTCCGGAGGCTGAAGCAGGAGAATTGCCTGAACCCAGGAGGCGGAGGTTGCGGTGAGCCGAGATCGCGCCATTGCACTCCAGCCTGGGTAACAAGAGCGAAACTCCGTCTCAAAAAAAAAAAAAAAAGGCCGGGCGCGGTGGCTCAAGCCTGTAATCTCAGCACTTTGGGAGGCCGAGGCAGGTGGATCATGAGGTCAAGAGATCGAGACCATCCTGGTCAACATGGTGAAACCCCGTCTCTACTAAAAATACAAAAAATTAGCTGGGCATGGTGACGTGTGCCTGTAATCCCAGCTACTCAGGAGGCTGAGGCAGGAGAATTGCCTGAACCCAGGAGGCGGAGGTTGCGGTGAGCCAAGATCGCGCCATTGCACTCCAGCCTGGGTAAAAAGAGTGAAACTCTGTCTCAAAAAAAAAAAAAAAAAAAAATTTTTTAATTTCTGCAATTTTAAACTTTCTTTTCTTATTTGAATGAACGAATGTCTAGGAAAATTTCAGGTAGGACTGTGAAATCCTGAATTTAATTGCTTTAAAAAAAACCACTTTCTTGTACCTTATTGATTCCCCAGCAAAATATGCAAAGCTGCTATCCTAAATCTCCTACCCAGGCGTCCCGAAACTGCGGCCCCCTGAGGCCATTTATCCGGCCCCCCACCGCATTTCAGGAAGGGGCACCTCTTTCATTGGTGGTCAGTGAGAGGAGCACAGTATGTGGCGGCCCTCCAACGGTCTGAGGGACAGTGAACTGGCCCCCTGTGTAAAGTTTGGGGACGCCTGTACTGTTGGAGAGTGCTTTCCATATTGCTTTCCTCTGAAAAGATATTAGTATGTCTAGTTTGCCAAGATGATTTCCTATTGAATTAGTCACAAAAGCATGTGTGTACATTTTTTTAAATGGTGGCATAAATACATTTATTCTTCTTAATTTAGTCTACAGAAAATGCATGTATGACTTTGCAGACTTTCATGTGGGAACTCAAACACCCGCTAGGGGGCTCTAAGTCCACAGGCTAAGAACAGAATCGTGCTCTAATGGTTTTAATTACGAGAAGTATGGTAGTTAATGAAAGCAGTACTGAAACGGGCTGTTAAAAACCTCTATGCAGCCCAGCATGGTGGCTCACACCTGTAATCCCAGCATTTCGGGAGGGCGAGGCAATCAACTCAGGTCAGGAATTTAAGACCAGCCTGGCCAACATGGTAAAACCCCATCTTTTTTTTTTTTCTTTTTTGGTAAAACCCTATCTGTACTAAAAATACAAAAAAATTAGCCGGGCGTGGTGGTGGGTACCTGTAATTCCAGCTACTCCAGAGGCTGAGGCGGAGGACTGCTTGAACCCAGGAGGCAGAAGCTGCAGTGAGCCAAGATCGCGCCAGTGCACTCCAGGCCTGGGTGACAGAATGAGACTCCATCTCAAAAAAAACAAGTACCCATTTCTTCTATTTAAATTTAAATATAAGCAGGCTTACTAGCCGGGAACAGTGGCTCATGCCTGTCATTCCAGAACTTTGGAGGCCAAGGCGGGTGGATCACGAGGTCAGGAGTTTGAGACCAGCCTGGTCAACATGATAAAACACCATCTCTATTAAAAATACAAAAAATAGGCCTTGCGGTGGCTCACACCTGTAATCCTAGCACTTCAGGAGGCTGAGGTGGGTGGATCACCTAAGGTCAGAAGTTCAAGACCAGCCTGGCCATCATGGTGAAACCCCATCTTAAAAAAAAAAAAAATAGCTGGCATGGTGGCAGGCACCTGTAATCCCAGTTACTCAGGGGGCTGAAGCAGAAGAATCATTTGAATCTGGGAGGTAGAAATTGCAGTGAGCTGAGATTGTGCCATTGCACTCCCGCCTGGGCGACAGAGTGAGACTCTGTCTCAAAAAAAAAAAGGGCAGGCTTACCATACCAGTATTAATCTTCAAATAAATTTCTCTGGGAGGCTGAGGCGGGTGAATCACGAGGTCAAGAGATCGAGACCATCCTGGTCAACATGGTGAAACCCCATCTCTACTAAAAATACAAATAATTAGCTGGGCGTGGTGGCGCATGCCTGTAATCCCAGCTACTCAGGAGGCTGAGGCAGGAGAATTGCCTGAACCCAGGAGGCAGAGGTTGCAGTGAGCCGAGATCGCGCCATTGCACTCCAGCCTGGGTAACAAGAGTGAAACTCCGTCTCAAAAAAGAAAATAAATAAATAAATAAATAAATTTCTCTGTAACTGTTGTAGTGATTCTGGGGACTTTTTTTTTTTTTTTTTTGAGACAAGAGTCTCACTCTGTTGCCCAGGCTGGACTACACTGCCACTATCATGGCTCACTGCAGCCTTGACCTCCTGGGCTCAAGTGACCCTCAAACATCAGTCTCCTGAGCCAGGTGTGGCAGCACATGCCTGGGACTACAGGTGTTAAGACACCACACCTGGGTAGACTGTTTTTATTTTTTTCT